CTACAAAAGACAGATTCACAACCGGGTCTTATTGATAATTCGGTCTGTAAAGCGGGTTTAAGCCGAAGCATAACAGCATGACTCAATTTTTAGCCTCTCCCTTTCGGTCCTAGATTAGTTAACTAGGAAGTAAATTCCTGTAAAAATTGGGAGATAGGACACAAACTTACATAGAAATGCATTTAGAATCTGGCTTGTCAAGTCTGTACTTCGCAGTCGTTGACTTGAATGGGACTCCTCTGGAGCAAATAAGGGGTTTTTGGTGGGGCTGAATGGGATTGGATCTGGCGCATCCCAAAGGTGGAGGGGGAGGAAGGTGCACTCCGAAGTGTTCAAGGCACACACACACACACACACACACTCCTTTGGCTGCTGGTGCTGATGCCGCTGCCTTTTTTTTTTTTTCAAAAACCACCCTCCTTTTCCACAGGCAGTAAATTCAAGGCCATAAAAATCAAAGAAAGCTAATGTAAGTTTTATTCAACTATTTAACCGTCTCAAGTCTAACGCCTTCTGTAAGAAAACAAAGAGGATCAGTACCGGATTGGACATTTTACAAGGGTAGTAAAATTAAAGTGCGTGTATATGGCGGGGAGGGGAAGAAGGAAGGAAGGAAGGAGAGAGGGAGAGAAAATGAATGAATGAATGAATGTGGGTTCCAGGATGGCAGCCCCCTCCTGCCGCCTCTCCCTGGCTTTCAAAACAAACTGGGAACTCAATAGACTCAATAGATTTTAGGCTATATCTGAAATCGGATCACTATATACCCTTAATGTCCACACACGAGAAGGAAAGGATTGCATTTTGAAACCTATTGACGTCTCTGTAGAAATACATGCCTTTTTGGAAAGTGAGATACATACATACATATAGGGGTTATACATGTAAACATAGAGACTATGGGCTGCTGTGAGTTTTCCGGGCTGTATGGCCATGTTCCAGAAGCATTCTCTCCTGACGTTTTGCCCACAACTATGGCAGGCATCCTCAGAGGTTGAGGGGTCTGTTGGAAGCTTATATATGATCATGGCCATACAGCCCGGAAAACTCACAGCAGCCCAGTGATTTTGGCCATGGAAGCCTTCGACAACACGTGAAGACTATGGTTTCTGATTTTATATTTAATATTGTATTCACTACAGGCAATAGATTTCACTCAGGCATATATATAATGCAACGTATGGCAAACCAATGCTGTAGAGTGCCATAGAGGAATATCCACTCAGGCATTACTATATGCAAAATCTTTAGTATCATGTTTAACCAAGAGGAGGAAGGTAGCAGGATCAGAAAAACCGAGTTGGGATGTGATCCATAGCTTGCCCATCCTTCTAAGGAACAATCATAATATTCACACATATTAATACAATATAATATAATATAATATAATATAATATCATATCATATCATATCATATCATATCATATCATATCATATCATATCATATCATATCATATCATATCATATCATATCATATCATATCATATCATATCATATAATATAATATAATATAATAGGCACAGACACAGAGACACAAATGCTCCGGACACACACCTCAATGTTGTCCTTTTAAACCCCTGCTAGGCATTGGTCTCCCCCTGCCTCTTTCAAAAAGAAACTTTAGACGGTTTATATTGCAGTTTTTTTCCCCAGCTAAGTAGAAGGAAGAGCGAGGAAGTCAGTCTAGGGTTGGACTTTATCGATTGGAGGGTGAGATGCGGGGGGGGGGGGGGGAGGTGAGAAGGAGAAATCCCCAACAGGGAGCCTGAGAGGAGGCAAAGAGAGGGCAAAACTCAGCTTTCCTCTTTCATGTTGCAGAAGTCCAGAAGGGAGGGGGCACTCCATAACCCCCCAAGACATACAGAGAGCGGCTCCCCCCCCCCCTTCCCCTGGACGTAACCTCTCGTCGCCACCCTCCTCCTCCTCCTCCTCCTCCTCCCAATAGGTTTGAACTGTACGTTCCGGGCTTTCTGAACTCGCTCCGCTTTGCCACATTGCCTCCCCATAACCCAATCCATCCTTGATATGGAATGCAGAGGGCGGTTTGACAGCCCCGCGCAGACCCCCCCGCCCCTCCGCCCGGATTGATTTACGCCGGCCCTGACGCTTTATCAGCCTCACGAAAAAAGTTTGACCAATCATTTTGCTGGAAGCTCCCAACCCGGCAGTCCCGACTGTACTTTTTCTTGGCTAGGAAGTTGACGCTGGAGGAGGAGGAGGAGGAGGAAAAGAGGGGGTTAAGCAGAGTGTCGCCTGTGTTGATTTTTCCCTCTCCCCCCCATCCCAATCCATTCCCACTTATATACCGTAATACCTATAGAGCCAGCCTAAAACTCGAGATCGACTCCTTTATTTTATTTTATTTTTTATTAACTCTGCTCTTTTTCTTGCTTGCTTTCTCGCCCCCTTCACCCAACCTTCACCCAACCGTGGGGGCTCGTATGATGTCCAAGAATGTCCATTTCTGGGACGCTTAGCAATTATTATGTCGACTCCATTATAAGTCATGACAGCGAGGAGCCTCCCGCGGCCAAATTCTCTTCCGGGCAGTACTCAAACTCCCGGCAAAGTAGCCACACTGAGCACCTGGAGTTCCCCTCCTGTAGCTTCCAGCCCAAATCCTCCGTTTTCAGCGCTTCCTGGACGCCTCTGACGCCCCACGCGGCCGCCAGCCTGCCGTCGGTCTACCACCCCTACCTCCAGCACCAAAACCTGCCTTCCTCGGAGAGCAGGTACCTGCGGAGCTGGCTGGACCCCGTGCCCCGAGCAGAGAGCCTAGCCGGGCAGGGAGCCGCCGTTAAGACAGAGCCGCTGCTGGGCGAGATCCGCAAGCAGGGAGCCCAGGACTACCCGCTAGACCCTGCCTCGGCGGCTGGAAGGGAAGGGGTCGCGCCCGCGCCGAGGCCCAGCAGCAGCAGCGGCTTCGAGGACAATAAAGTTTGTGAAGGAAGCGAGGACAAAAGCAGGCCAGATCAAAGTAAGTTATAAAAAGTCAGGAAGTAAACAACAGCGTTTCAGGAAGGAGGGAGATGGAGAAACAGCCCAACACCCCCTCTCCCCCCCAAAAGACCCTAAGTGTGTCATAAAAGAACACAATGGGCGAGAGAAAAAGGGGGTCTTCTGTTTTGAAAAGCTGGTCTTAAAAGAGATTTCTCCCTCCTCCTTTCTTTTCCTCCGGGAAAGGAAAAAAAAAAAAGCCCAGTTAGGTAATCTAAGGGTTTGCAAGGGTGTCTAGGGTGAAAGCGTGGTTGGTTTGGCTGAATTGATATATATATATTTTTAAGTCAGGCGGGTGTAATGTGAACCGGTTTGGGATTTCCTCCGTGGCTTGAAAATGACCAACTTAACGTGTGGTCGAAGATTTTCGGGATCAATTGGTTTCTGTGAGTTTTCCGGGCTGTATGATCAAGTCTGTTAGTTTCTAACAGACCCCTCAACCTCTGAGGATGCCTACCATAGATGTAGGCGAAACGTCAGGAGAGAATGCTTCTCGAACATGGCCATACAGCCCGGAAAACTTACAGCAACCGATCATCTTAACTCTGTTGGAAAGGGAAGAGAGGGAAAGCTATGGATTGTGTTTCTTTCTCAGTGTGGGTCTTGGAGAAGGGATGCAACGTGGGGATTCTGTTGGTGTGTTGTTGATCTTGTTGTTTCACGTGGAGAAGCCAGGGGTCTGTGTCTGTGTTCGTGGCTCCCCGTGTCCTTGTTTACCTTCAAAAGGAGCCCCGGTTTCCTTCCGTGGCGCTTTCCCTGTCACTCTGGGTTGTTGTCTGATGGTTGTTTGTTTATGAAATGCGCCCGACGTGCCTATGAATATTTCAGAGCCAAAACCGCTCTTCTTCCCCCCCCCCCCACTCTTTTCCCCAAAACACCCGCTTTATATAAAAAACAGTAAAAAGAGAAACGAGCTTAATTGGTTCGTTATATTTTATTTTATTTGCTACGGGGAACAACAGACTGGCAAACTCTTAAAACTTAATCGTGTGCTTCTTGGTGCAACCTGGTGGTGGGTGGCTGCTATGAGCTCGCCTTCCCTCCCCCTTTGGAGGGCAAAACGTAGGGAAAAGGATTTAGTGGGGGAGGGGGGGGGAGTTGGATGGAGGGGCAATAAAATATACCAATAATCTTTGCCTCTTCAATATATTTTTTAGCGCGGTGAAGGGTTTTTTCTCAATGGGGAGGAGGTTTCGGGCAACCTGGTCCAATGTTTGTGAGGAATGAGAATGGTAAAAACTCAAGTAGTTTCATGTTTGAGGATCAATGAAAGAAAAATCCCTCTTGGCTGTGTCTATCAGCATCCTTTCCCAAATGATGGAGTTGTAATATTGTATTGATATTTCCATGTAGAATGTGTGCTCTTCCTTCCTCCAAAAACAAAGGGTGCCTGGTCCAATGTTTGGGGTGTTTGTGGGGAATGAGAATGGTAAAAACTCAAGTAAAAAATCCCTCTTGGCTATGTCTGTCAGCATCCTTTCCCAAGTGATTGAGTTGTAATATTGCATTGATATTTTCCATGTAAAGTATGGGCTCTTCCTCCAGTCCAAAAACAAAGCATGCCTGGTCCAATGTTTGGGGTGTTCGTGAGGAATGAGAATGGTAAAAACTCAAGTAGTTTCATGTTTAAGGCTCAATGACAGAAAAATCCATCTTGGTTATGTCTATCAGCATCCTTTCCCAAGTGATGGAGTTGTAATATTGCATTGATATTTTCCATGTAGAGTGTGTGCTCTTCCTCCAGTCCGAAAACAAAGGGTATTGAGGGTCATTCGGACTGGGCATTCTATCCCTGTATGCAATTCGCTTCCTTTTCTCCGTGCCCGGGAGGGGGTGGGTTTGTGGGAGGCACAAAAAAGCGCATTTGATGTGGGGCTCTTGGCAGGAAATCTTGCTCAGCGACTGAGGAGACTCCCTGAGAAGATGCGGGAGGTTTGCCATTTTGTCAAAAAGCTCATCTGCCCCCCTTCTACCCTCCTCCCCACCCTCATCTTTCTCCCCAGCCCCGGAATTGAAGATAGATAAAAATCTTGCCCAAGAAAACCGCTCGGTTCCAGAGGGACAGGGTGCCGGTGGGCGTCCTGTACATGCTAGCTTAGAAGGTATGTTTGGCCGGCGATGGAGAGAATGGGGAAAGGAAGGAGAAGAGGTGGGGAGAGGGAGGGCAGCTCTGTCCAAAGGCTTTCCTTCCATCTAAGCCTCTTCCTTGAGAAACCAGACCCTCCCAGGACTCTTTTCCTTGTAGACAGGGGTGGTGGTCATGGTGGTTTGGCTCCTAAGAGTAGCGTGCCAGCCCCACCATTTATTTCTCAATAAAAAAATGTGACTTCCTGTTTGGGGAATAGTGTGAAATGCGAGATAAACGCGTTTTTCCTGTGGCAGACGTCATGTTTCCTTGAAATGCCAAGAAATCACACACGCACACACGCACGCACACAACCGAAAAAAGAGGGTCATTGCTGGAGATCTCATCCCAACGCCATTAAAAGATAGGTAGCTGTATTAATTATTAACAGCCATGCCTCGTCTTTAATATTTAATTCTGCCTATTAGAGAGGCAGTCGCTTCTGTTGAGGAAGGGGCTGGTAGGATTTGTAGAGGAGGAAAGATGAGAAATAAATCTAATTTCAAACAAACACACACACACCACACACACGGGAGGGGGGCAAGGCGCATTTTATTTTACTCAGAGGGAAATGCCTCCTGAATTAAGAAGAGCCCAATTTGTTGGAGATGTTTTGTTTTTCTAAATTTTAATTTCCGCAGCCTACTAGGAAGTCAGACTGGTTAGCTCTCTTCCTCCAACGCTGTTATATTCTGTGCTCTTTGGATAAGCCTTTCCTTCTGTGAGGGAGACAACCCTACAGAAGAAACCCACCAGATTCCTCTGGGTGAATGTGTGTGTATTTAAGAACAGTGTCACTCAAAGTAGTAACCTGCAACACAGCCCTTTGTCGAAGATCTGATGCTTACTCCCGCGTAGACCCATGCCTGAGACTAACACAGGGTCTCAACCACATCCTGGTCTCTCCTCCACTCACTTATGCCCAGGGAGGTGATCTGAAATCCCCATTCAGACAAGCAGAGTAAGTGGGCATTCTATGGGATCCTCAGCTAATGCAGGAGAACTTCCAGAGAAATAGTTCATGGTTCTATTTCCCCCCTGAAGAGTGACAGTGTTAGGGGACCCTCCATGTAATTGCCTCTCCACCTCACACACACAACACTAACAAACTACAGCAGGCAATTTGTTTCACAGTTGGTAGGCACAGAGCAGAGGTCCTCCGGATTTTAAGGGGGGAAAAGGGCCAGAGTACAGGCAGAAGAAGAAGTGTTGAATTATTCATTGTTGTGTATGAAGTTGTCTCTGCATAGGACACTCCACAAAGTAAGCTTCATAGCACACCCTGCCTCTAAAGATCATGTAGAAGACTTATACTCCTGCAATAGGACCATTAAATATCTTTTACTCCTTCCTTTCCTTCCTTCTTCAGTTTCCCTCTCCTTTTCCGCATATATACCTTCTGTTAAACATACTCCTTTCTCCTATAGCACACATACAAAATTGAGTACTGCATACTTCTTCTTTCTCTTAATTCTTCTAAGGGCCCTTCTGCACAGCCATATAACCCAGAATATCAAGGCAGAAAATCCCACAATATCTGCTTTGAACTGGGTTATCTGAATCTACAGTTCAAAGCAGATAATATGAGATTTTATTCAGTTGAGTGGAAGGGGCTCATGTATAAAATGGAATATCTTCATTCCTTTTCATTCATATAAAATTGAGTACTTTATAGCTTTTCCTTATCTTCATCCTAGTCTCCCCTTGCCTATATATATCTTGAATAATATACCCTTTCCTTCCTTCCTTTCTTCCATTATCTATCTATCTATCTATCTATCTATCTATCTATCTATCTATCTATCTATCTAGTATTATATACTTCTTTTACTTCATCCTTATAAGTTCCCCCTCTCACTCATATCTCAAATTGAACACACTCCTTTCTTCTTTTTTGCTCGCCTCTGCCTTCAGCTGCATAAACTTGTGAGAATCTCTACCCATTGACTTCCCTCTGGCATCCTTTTCTGCCCCATGAAGGTCGGTCTGCATAGTTACATCTAAGTACAACAGAAGAGTAGATGTGGTTTCCTTAAACTTTCCTTTAAACTCCCTAGAACCTGGTGGGTGTCCTCCTCCCACTTGGTTGGATCAGTTCAAACACAGAGTCCCAAGTCCTTCTGAAGTGATGGCTGCCTCACAAAGGTCTCTCTGCTCTTCTCCTTGCAGGTAACCCGGCAGCCAACTGGTTGCATGCTCGCTCTTCCAGGAAGAAACGATGCCCTTACACCAAGTACCAGACCTTGGAACTGGAGAAGGAGTTTCTGTTCAATATGTACCTCACCAGGGACCGTAGACACGAAGTGGCCAGGCTGCTCAACCTGAGCGAAAGACAAGTCAAAATCTGGTTTCAGAACCGCAGGATGAAGATGAAGAAAATGAACAAGGAACAAGGCAAAGAATGAAGATCTCCTTCCTGTTCTCCACTTCTCCCGCCCCGCTCCCTCCCTCTGTTCTCCCCCAGTTTTGGCCCTGTCTCGAAACTAATGTTATATTTATGGACAAGGCTTCCCCAGAGGTGCTGGAAAGACAGCAAAACCAAGCCAGACCCGAAGTAGAGCTTCCTGGTCGATATGCCAGGAATATATAATGATTGCACCTGTTTGTTTGCATTTCGGTCTTCCCCTTGAAGAGATAAGGCTCATTTGGGACACCTTAGGTTTGGGGGCTGTTTGAAAGAACTTATAGCAAGCACGTTTGACAGCAGCATCAGCTTTGGATGGCCATCACATTAAGCCACTCCACCGCCAAACAATTAAATATATTTTTTAAAAACTGCCCCATGCAAAAGACAACGTTTCCATTGAAACTTCATTCTCTGAGCCAACTGCTTGTAAATAGACGCAATGGAGGCTTCCAGGTGGGTTGTAACTCAAGCCTTTCCTCAGATCACTTTCTTCTTCTCATGGCGAGAAAGAGAGAGATCATCAGGTGGATCTGTAGAAGATCCTGAGGGAAGTGTCCTACCAAATTCTGGTTAAGGACCAGCCGTCCCATTGCACATTTAATTCATTCCCATTCCTGAAGGTCTGTTTTCTCCAGGTTCCTTCAACTGTGTTGAACGACAGCTCCCATATTCCCCAGCCAAACAGGCCTTGGGTGATTGGAGTTGTGCTCCAACGCAAGGGTTCCTGGAAATCGATGTGAAACCGGTTTGGCGTGTCCTAGATATTCCCTTTTAAAACTCTGTTCATACACATGCACCCGTCAATAGGGCAGAATTTGTTAGGATTGTGCAGGAGATAATATTCCCCACCAGGCCTACTATTTTTGACCCTTCCTAGTTGGTCTCATCTTTGAAGGGACAGAAGATGAGCCAGAGAATGTGAGCTAAAGATTTTTGGTGTGTATAATAACGGTTTGGTCCAACTGCTTAGGAAGTTTGTGGCTATTTGTAATTTATTCTGAAGACTGAGATTCAGAGAACCATTCAAGTGCCAAGAGGAGCGGGTCTGGAGTGGGTTTTCCTTTCTTTCTTCAACCAAGTTAGTGCTGAGAGAGAAGTCTTAATACTTGAATGTTCTTGGAAACCTTGTTCTCCTGGAAGAAAACCCCCTCTTTCATCTTCATATGAAAACAAATTTTTGAGGGGCATTAAAAAGCCACGATGGCTTTTTTTTGGGAGGGAGGGCTTTTTGTTTTGAATATAAGGAAGTTACTTTTGCATTGTTTACAAAAATAATTCCCATTTCATACTAAAAGGCGGGCGAGTTGCTCCTCTTTCAAACCTTGTCCCTTGAAAACCACCCTAGATGGGATTTTCAGAAAAGGAGGGAAGAGGAGAGAAGGAATCTAGCGGTACCTTTAAGTCGTATCCAGTTTGAAACCCCTTATCGCAGTCTTAAATGTAGTCAGCCTTAAAGGTGCCACTAGGGTCCTCCTTCCTCCCACCCCGACTTTCCTTTTTGCATTGAAACAGACTGACACCGCTGTCTCTTTGAAAAGTTACATGGGGTCCCACTGTCGAAATGAATCCCTCTTCCCCCTCCTCTCTTTGGTGGGACTTGGGGAGGGCCAAGTAGAGGTAGGTAAGTAACTTTAGTACAAGGCGGTTATATATGCGTGTGAAGGTTGGAGAGGATTTTTTTGCCGTTTTCTTTTTTTATATAAGGGGAAAATGTGTTCGTGGCTGTGATTTTGTGAATGTTCCGCTTGTTTTCTGTGGCTTTTAGGAGTATAAAATGGAGTCTGTACATATTAGTTTCAGAACTGGAGAGGGATTTCCATAGGCAAAGAAAGGCACTCCCCACTCTTCTGCATCTTTCCATTCGGATTTAGAAATAATGCCAATGAGGTGGCAGAAAGGGTGAATAAAAGGGGTGGGAAATCTGACCAGGGCTTTTGGAGAGAGAGAGAGAGAGACAGAATGGGGAGAGAAGACATTAATGTCTACCTTTCAGGATCTTTCTAGACAAAAAGCAGTCCCAGCAGAGAAATCTAATTTCATAGAGTGTTGTATAGAATTTTTGATACCATTTTGTGTCTGCTGACGAGCTGTTCTTTAGAAATTTGATAGGGATATTTTAATCTTTCCAAGTAGCGTTGTCTGGTTCCTGAAAACTGGAAGAAAAGAAATCTCTTTTAGGGAGGCTAGAGGAGTATTTTTGAAAAATCTGCATTTTAAAAAGAAGGCATTTGTGAGATTTTAAAAATCATTTCCTCCCAAACCCTTGAAACGTTCAATTCCTAAATAGTTGTGGGTTGGTTTTTTTTGGGGGGGGGAGGGGGGGCTGGGGGGGTTGCAACAGAAACCTTAAAACTGGTAAAAGATCAGCGCTATCCTTTTGATAGCATAAACAACAATCAGTCAGGATTCACCTTCTCTTTTACAAAAAAAAAATCTATTTGAAAGTAGAATTTCTATTGATAGAAGCACATTCTCTTTTTTCCTCCCAGGAAAAAAAATAAATTAAACAATTGGAAGTCGTCTTGTTTTAAATGAGATTATGCATTTGTGGGATGTCTGTTAAACCTAGGCAGGTTTTATAGTATTATGTGATTTGTCTGTGTTTCATTTCTGGCTGATGGTTCAAATGAAGCTCAAAAACCATTTGGAGGTCGATGGTAAAACAAAACAAAACAAAACAATAAATAAATAAAATCACCCTGAAACTTTTCCAGGGTTAATCTCATTTTATAAAGAGAACCATCTCCATTGATGTATTGGCATATTCGCCCAGTTTAGTCATAGATTCATCTCTAGACCTTATTAAATGAAAATAAGATTTTTATTTTGAAAAAAAAATGCTTTTTTTGCAGCAGCATGGGTTAAATATTAAAAGAATCTAGCTGATTTCGTTACAGAAGCTTCTGTCTTAAGAGGGGGGAAATGGCTGAAGAAACATTATCGTTTCCTCTGTAAGGTTCAAATGTATTTTCCACACTTGTTTTAATGCCTCAGAATAAAAAATCGATTTGGAGGGTGGGGAGGTGGGGAAGCTACCTATATCTCATTGTGTTATACTGCTACTTCTAGAACTTGAGAAATATTTGCAACTGTGTTTGTTTCTTCCTTCTGGCCTCTTTGCCGTGTATTTGTAAAGAGCTGGCGTTTTGTTTTGTTTGGCTATTGTTTGGTCTGAGAGGTTTTTTTCTTGGAAAAAAGTCACTTTAGGAAAGCTGATATGCATTTGTTTCCAATGTATTCTCGTTTCCTTCCGTGTTCCACGAGCTGCATCTTAAAACAGAAATAAAGGGGTTCTCTTTCTTTCCATTTGTGGCGAAAAGAGTCATTATTATTATTATTATTATTATTATTATTATTATTATTATTATTGTTATTTTCAGTGAGGAATAAATAATCAACAACGACAACAACATTTTATTATGTTCCAAAGACCCTTATTGCACCAGGAAAAGATGAATGAATGGAGCAAGTGAGAAACTAAATATATCAGATTCATGGTGTGAAATAATAGTGAACCTTGCTATTAAAGATAGGAAAAGAAAGGGTCATAATGGGCATGGATATCCAAAATAGCCTCATCATGTAAAGAAATAAATGTCACAGATCTGATAGGCATAAGGAAGCTTCTTGCTTTGTGATTCCACTTTCCAAAAGTCCTTTCAAGAGGAACCTTTAGGCAGAATCACCAAGCAGTGAAAGGGAGGGATGTTCGTGTTTTATTTTGTGTGGATTTCCACATTAGTGATTCCTACAAACTCAAAACCAAAACATGATATTTGGAACATACAGTCGCATCCAGTTAAAATATACACATCCGCCATCACACACACACACAAATGCATATATATATATATATATATATATATATATATATATATATATGCATATGCGTGCATATTAGTGAGTCCCACAAACTCAAAACCAAAACATGATCTTTGAAACATACAGTCGCATCCAGTTAAAATATACACATCCGCCATCACACACACACAAATGCATATAGTGTTATATATATATATATATATATATATATATATATATATATGCATATGCGTGCATATTAGTGAGTCCCACAAACTCAAAACCAAAACATGATCTTTGAAACATATAGTCGCATCCAGTTAAAAAGAAAAATATGCAACAGCCATCACACACACAAACACACACACACACACACACACACACACATAGAATATATACCCATGTGTGTGCATATTTATCTGAATGTATGTCTCTATTTTCTTGGAAAATCCCGAGAAGAGAGGAAAGCGGTCTCTGGATCTTCCTGGGATAGAAAGGGGAGAAAAACTTGTCATAAAAGAGGGGAGAAAACTCGGCGCAGTAGGCTGCCGTAAAAGAATATGACCGCCATAAAACTTTATAGGGTATAAATTTCTGAAGGTTAAGGAACTAAGCAACTGTAAAGCAAACAAGAGTAGAAAACTTTCAGAAGCTCCTAAATTACTAGAAGGTACTAGAAAGGAGGGGGGAAGCTGAGAGGGGGGAGGCACCCATGAAAAAAAAAAATAATAAGAAAGGTTTTGGTATAAAAGAGCTGAAGAAAGAGAGGGAGGGAGAAAAAAAGAAAACCTTTGTGCATTTTATTCCCCTCTTGTGGATTCTGCTCCACTCCAGCGATCTGGATTGCTTCACCCTTTGTCTATTGCGTCTTATCACTTCCAAGCTGCCAGCATCCTGGATCATAAACTCCCAGCATTAACCATCCCATCACACACCCGGCCAATATCCCCAGTATAGACACACACACACACACATCCCAAAGTTCTGGCCAGACGTCTGCGTTTGGGAAGGCTTACTTTACACTTTAAAGAGAGAGAAAAGGGGGGGGGGGTGAAGAAAGGGGGGATAAAGAAGAGAAGACTTTTCTTTACAACCCCAGTTTTCCCCCCACCCATCCTTCCAGAGCAGAATACGTCAATTGTTTAGTCTCGGAGCTTTGAAACAATGGTGGTTTTTCAAATGCGAAGTCTCAGCCTCCTGCTTTTATGGCTTTGAAAAGGACCGGATGGAGCGTATATGGCCTAGAGAGAGACTTCTGAGAGGTCTATTTGCCCCCTTTCCTCGCTCACATTCATATGCCGAATCTGATAATTTCACAAAGGAATTGTCCTATGAAACAATGCTTGGAAAAGCACACAGAGAGAGAAATAAAGGGGAGGGGGATCCATAAAGGCACAAGCACAAGGAAAGCGTTCTCTAACCCATCTTCGTTTATAGATTTTTAAGGGTGTCCTACTCCGAACGGTCGTTAGATGTCGCTGTTACTCCACGTTTAGAAAGCAGCGACCCTCCTCTGCTTCTTGGGTTTCTTTGCCCCTTGAGTCCACAACACCTTGATTTCATTAGGAACAATAAACGGAATGGCTGCTCAAAAGCGTGATGGGTAAATACCCCTCCCTTCGACATAAAATGTAGAAATAATAACAGCGACTGCTCCTTTTCCTTTCCTACTTTTGGAGGCACAGGCGCTGAGACCACTGGAAGGTGAACATACAGAATAAAACTGGAGGTACAAACGAGGAAGGAGATTCTCCTTCGCAAAATCCCCTTTGCAGGGAAAAGAGGGCCGTGGAAGAATTTCTGCTCAGCTCCCATTCATTGCCATCCAACCTGCGAGGAGAGTTTTCCCTGCTGTGCTTATGTACTGGGCATTCAAGGCCTGGAAGATGTGTGTATGATGGAGTAAACAAACACTCTGTTTGAAAGCGAAGTCATAGAGTCACTCTGATTTGTCACTCTGCTCCTCCCGGGTGTCAAAAGGTTATGATGTCTATATTACAATCTTCAGTATCTAGGGTATACTGAGCTGGAGAAAGGAGGATAGGTCAGAAATTTGGGGGGAAGCCTTGTGTTGTCCTTTCCTTAAAGATCCCACAATACTTTTTGTGTCAAACAGGAGAAGACAAATAATAGCTCTTGTTTTTTCAGCATCCTCTAACTTCTGCTTTACTTCAACATTTTGCCCGAGCTTTGAATTGTATCCTCATATCCATGTTTCTCTCCCTGTGTGTCTCGTTGGTAAATATAAAAATAGAAAAGGGTGGAAAATGGAAATATTAAACATGAATCGAAAACAGAGATGACTTTTGTTGTCGAAGGCTTTCATGGCCGGAATCACTGGGTTGCTGTGAGTTTTTCGGGCTGTGCGGCCATGTCCGAGAAGCATTCTCTCCTGACCCTGACGTTTCGCCCACATCTATGGCAGGCATCCTCAGAGGTTGTGGGCAAAACGTCAGGAGAGAATGCTTCTGGAACATGGCCATACAACCATACAACTCGGAAAACTCACCGCAATTCAGATACGGATTTTGTTTCCCTTGCCCCTCGAAAGTTGGTGGCAACCTTTTAGATCCAAGAGGAAATGAATAAATTTACCTTCCAGATTATTCATTAAACACACACACACAACGAAGCCTGTCCTCATTACCGCCTTCAAATAATGGCAAATGTATCTGATTTGATATAGACCCTGATTGGAGACGGGGAAACAAAATAACATGGCCAGAAAAGGGAATGGATTCTGTTTTAATGAATCTGTTCTTTAGAAAGCTTACATGTCCTTAAGAAGGAAGTAGAGGCAAGAGATAGGGCTGACATTCAATGCTCGATTTGGTTCAGCGGCACAGAACCGATTTTACAAGCGTACAAAACCAGAAAGATCTCGTGAGTGAATGAAGAAGGCAGGGAATAAGGACACAGAAGAGACCATTCTGCTTCAAAGGCCAATTCCAGCAACTCCAAACGGTATGAAAGCAGTAATCTTTTCAGGGAGAAATTCATAGATACCCCTCTTTTAAAAAAAAAAGCAACAGTAGCAACAATTAATGAGGCTATAAAGTAATAAGAAGTTACAGTTTACCAAGTGCTGTATTTGGAGTAAGGGGGGGGGGGAAGAGATTTTCCTGATAAATCTTCCCTCCCTTGGGTATTTGTAAATTATGTTCCCACTTTCTCTCGTGGTCCCTCTTCTCCCCCCTCCCTCCCTTGTAACAGAAATATTTTCCTTTCATCGGAGGGTCCCCAGTACAGTAGGGCAATGATTTAGTGCAAGCGGCTGGTCCTTGATCCACGGTCGTCTCTTTTTGAAGGCGTTGATCTGTTGTTAAAAGAAATGTTCAGCTTCCAAGACAACTTAGCCCTCCTTCTCTCCCTTTTGCTGCTTCCCCTTCACCTCAGGAAATGCGTGCTCACAATTCCCCATCCGCATCTTGAGAAGCAGCTCTTTTATTGACAGATCTGTGGGCTAAATCCTATTGCGACTTCAATGGGCCTCCCCTTTAATGTATGTGTAAGGGAAACAAAGCAAACATGTTTTTAAAGGCCAATTCTTTGAAAATCTTATGCAGTAGAGAAGTGGTTTCAAATCTAGACAGTGGGAAACCTCTCTCCCTTTCAAACGCTCCTGGAAATGTAAGTGTTGGAAACTTTGGGGTCGGGAAGGCGATCCTAAACTAACCTTCCAAGGGTTGGGGTTGGGATAGACCTTGATGTAACTGGAGGCGTAAATCGTTCAAAAGTGAGAGGAATCCAGATCGGTTTGGATCTTTTCCTTGGCAAATTTGGGACTAAGTTTGGGGCTCCCTTCAAGCAAAGCAACCCGCTAGGTTTTATTTTGCCTAACAGTAAGAAGAGAACATAAAGATAAAACTTCCACATGGAGAACAGAAAAGCTCCCATTGAAGGCTTCTCGAGGAGTTAAAATACGTTTAATTGCGGGCGGGATGAGAAAGAATGAAGGATTTAGATAAAAACCCATCTCTTGCTAAATAAAAACGGAATGGCTTCTACTTTTCAAAGAAGTTAGCGTGGATCATCTTGAAGCAGTTTCTTCCCTTTTCATTCCCTCCCTCTTTCCTTCCTTCCTCTCCTCTTTCCTTCCTTCCTCTGATTTCCTTCATTTTATCTTCTTCCTTCCTTCCTTCCTTCCTTCCTTCCTTCCTTCCTTCCTTCCTTCCTTTCCTTCCTTCTCTGCTTTCCTTCATTTTCTCTCCTTCCTTCCTTCCTTCCTTCCTTCCTTCCTTCCTTCCTTCCTTCCTTCCTTCCTTCTTTCCTCTCTCTCCTCTCTCCTTCCTTCCTCTCCTCTTTACTTCATTTTATCTCCTTCCTTCCTTCCTTCCTCTCCTCTTTCCTTCCTTCCCCTCTCTCCTCTTTCCTTCCTTCTCTCCTTTCCTTTATTTCCTCTTCTTCCTTCCTTCCTCTCTCTCTCCTCTTTCCTTCTTTCTCTCCTTCCCTTCATTCTCTCTCTTCTCTCTTCCTTCTTTACCCCCTCTCCTTTTCTCCTTCCTTTCATCTCTCCTTTCTTCCCTCCTTTCCAGCTAGGTAAGTAGGCACCATACCAGAAATTATCCTTACAAATCTTCATCTTTACAAAGTCTCCAAGAAGTGCTTTTTCAGTCCAATAGGTTCTTAAAGTGTGTGTGTGTATGAAAAGCTATAGAGGGTATTTTTTTACGGGGGTGGGGCTGGTGCCTTCCAATTTACAAAGAGCCCCAAAGGCTCTAAGATGTGCTTTTCAGTCTAATGTTATTTCAGATAGGTTCTTAATCGGGGAAATGTCAGTGTATATGAGAAAAGCTATGGAATACCTATTTGCGGGGTTGATCCTGATTAGGACTGAGATATTTCCAAGATGGAGGGGGGGGGGGGGGGGGAAGAAAGCTCCAAAGTCTCCTGATTTGAGGAGGCATCTTCTTCCTAATAGTTGCTGACTGCGTTTAAAGGGCTCCTATATTCACCCCCTGTGAGCTTAAATCGAGGGAAATTGTCGAGTTAGCATCTTAAAAGCTGAACGCAACTCTAGCAAACGTCAGTAAAATATGGGGGGGGGGGAGAATGAGGGCCCCTCACCTCCTCCCCCTTCACCCCTATTTCTCTGCCCCCCTCCCCATCCCATCCCTTACCCCTCTGCTAGCCTTAAAAGCACCTTGTGGTTCCAACTTTGCTGGGGGTGGCGATGATGGGGCTGAGAATGGGTGGCTGTGAATGCTCAGTTAATAATCCCCATAAATGTAGCGTTTTGGAGGTGATAAAGAGACGGCGGCATCCCATCTTCTCCTATGGAGGGGGGAGGGAGGAGGAGGAGGAGAGAACAGGGAGGGTGGGGGAGGGGGAGGAATAAAAGAGAGCCGAAAAGTCAATGTTATATATGAAAAACTATAATCATTTTAATTCACTATTGACACCCCAACATCTTGCGATAATGGAGTTGAGGCGTCAATCGAAGCCTGGGTTTTTATAGCAGGAGGGAAAAAGAACTCGTAAAAACCCTTTAACAGCTTTTTATGTAGTGCGATATAACCAGTGAAGAACATCTCCGGGTGCGTTGTATGTGTGTGTGTGTGTGTGTTTTGTTTTTTATTTATTTATTTATATTATATATTTAGTTGGGGTTGTTGTGTATGCGTGCCTTGGTTTTATTTTATTTTTTATTTTATTTTATTGCACTTTATAGTTTGTTAAACAGTTTACGATCCCTCTCGTTTTATTTCGGGGGTGGGAGGGGGCTGGGAAGGAGGGAGGGTGTCTTTCCCTCCCCCCCTTCCCTTCTGTTACCAAATGGGCCATTTTTTCCCTTTTTTTTCCTCCGCTGATAGTTAAACCTTTATCAATAATAAGGAAATTGATCATTAAAATGTTAAATCTGACTACCTCGTTTGTTTTAAAATATGTTGAGGCTACAGGACGCCGTAGGATTTGATAACTTGGTATTAAAATACCAATTACATTTATAGGAGGCTTTTAGAAAAAAAAACGGGTAGCAATTAAACCCGGCCTCTTTTTTTACAGTTTTCCAAAGCAACTCTGACATTTTCCAAAGGCTAAAACTGCCTCGTTAAAATATAAAGGGAGGAGGGGGGGGGGTGGGGAGGAGACCAAAAAAAAATAATTTAAAAAATGGAAATTAACGGCGGGAGCAAAAGCCTCTCTTTAATTTTCCAGCCCTCCCCAAATATCAATCTTTGGGGTGGGCTTAGGTGATGATTTGTCGAGAGGCGAGAGATATCTCATTAACGTAGATAGTTTAGCATATTTAATCTCTATATTTACCCCACCCCACCCCCTCCCTCTCTCCCTCGCTTGCGCTCTCTTTCTCTCCCCCCCCATCCCTCTCTCTCTCTCTCTCTCTCTCTCTCTCTCTCTCGCTTTTCCCTCCTCTGTCTCAGGCTCACTCTCCTTTCTGCTCGCAGGCTGCTCAGAGTCCGTGTGGAGTACGTGGAAACCAATAGGATGAGGGTTCCGTAATAGATGCAAATGATCCAGAAAAGACACTGCGAAATATGAACAAACTCATTTGCTCCGAAGTAAATCACGGAAAACTGTTTATGAACTGGCACCTCTCCTTGGAAATGTAAAGCGAGCGACTCTTTTTCTTTTTCTTTTCTTTTTTTGTTGTTGTTGTTTTGTTTAAGTGCCGATTTTTTTTTCAAAAGGGGGGGTTGAAGGAGGAGGAGGGGGTGAAGAAGAAAAAGGAGAAGAGAGAGACAGGCAGGCAGAGAGGGAGAGACAGAGAGAAAAGAGAGAAAGGAATAATAATAACAACAACAACAATCACAACAACAACAATAAAAAAAACCGAGGAATCCGAGACTATGTCCTGTGGCAAAGAGTTTTGACTCAGTCCTCTGGATTTTTTAAAAAATCTATCTCTATCTTTATATATTGCTGGAAACCACCAAGACTCCTGGGTTAGCTTCTCATCGCTTTCATCTTGATTTTGTGGCTAATTTCCAGAGGTTTTGGAGAGATCTACTTTACCTTCAAGCTGACTCTTTAGACTGAAAATTTCCCACTTTCCTGGATTTGGAGAGATCTCTCTTACCTTCAAGCTCTGACTCTCTCTACTAAGTCTCTCTCTTTCCTGTGGATTTGGAGACATCTCCCTTACCTTCAAAGCTCTGACTCTCTCTACTAAAAGTCTCTCTCTTTCCTATGGATTTGGAGACATCTCCCTTACCTTCAAGCTCTGACTCTCCCTACTGAAAGTCTCTCTCTTTCCTATGGATTTGGAGACATCTCCTTTACCTTCAAAGCTTTGACTCTCTACTGAAAGTCTCTTTTTCCTGTGGATTTGGAGACATCTCCCTTATCTTCAAGCTCTGACCCTCTCTATTGAAAGACTCTCTCTATTCCGGTGGGTTTGGAGAGATCTACTTTATCTTCAAGCTGACTCTCTTTCCAGTGGGTTTGGAGAGATCTCCCTTACCTTCAGACTCTGACTCCTTCTCTCTCTCTCTCTCTTTCTGGTGGGTTTGGAGGGATCTGCCCTACCTTCCAGCCCTGACCCTATCTAAGGCTCTCCCTCCCTCTCTCTTTCTCTCTCCATCGCTCCTTCTCCCGGCTCTTTCTATGACCATGAGCTCCTACTTCGTCAACTCCCTCTTCTCCAAGTACAAAGCCGGCGACTCCTTGCGCCCCAACTTCTACGACTGCGGCTTCGCCCAGGAGCTGGGGGGCAGACCCACGGTGGTGTACGGGCCCAGCGCCGGGGGCAGCTTCCAGCACCCCACGCAGATCCAGGACTTCTACCACGGCGCCGCCTCCTCGCTCTCGGGCGCCTCGTACCAGCAGAACCCCTGCGCCGTCGCCTGCCACGGAGACCCGGGCAACTTCTACGGCTACGACCCTTTGCAGAGGCAGAGCCTCTTCGGCGCCCAGGACGCCGACCTGGTCCAGTACCCGGACTGCAAGCTCGCCTCCAGCGGCGCCCTGAGCGAGGACGCCGACAACGCCGAGCAGAGCCCCTCGCCCACGCAGCTCTTCCCCTGGATGAGACCCCAAGGTGAGCCCCGAGGAGGAGAAGCACCCGGAGGAGGAGGAGGAGAAGCCATAATAACGGGGTGGGGGGTGGGGGTGATTGGCTTGGGAGGCCAGCCTCAGCCCAGGCATTTCCTGAACCCATAAAACAAACTCGCCCTCCTTTTTGCCCACCTCTTCCACTATCTTGCTTCCCCTCTCTCTCTCGCCCCCCCCCCCCGCTGTCCCTTTCCTCCAACCCTGTTACTTCTTCTCCCCTTTTTCTTTTTTTACTGTTTTATGAGCGTAAACTTTTGCACCTCTCCCTGGCTTTATCGCTTAATTACCCTGAAAGGAACCCTTTTTCTCCTGAATGGAGGGGAAAGAGCTGGACTCTTCTTTCTTTCCCCCCCCCTTCTCCTTCTTTTCAATGCCAGAAGCTTCGCCCTAAAGTTTATGGTACTTTTACAACCTCCCAGACCCTCTTTTTGTGTCTCTCCTTCGCCTCCTGCTCCTCCCTCCTCCCCTATTTTAGTTATTATCTTTTTCTTTAACCCTCGAGAGATGGGATGGTGGACGGAGCCGCGCTGAGGTGAGGAGGGGGGGGGGGACGAGGGAGAGGAGGGAAGATGATGAAGAGATGGTGGTGGCTTTTTAAGGGACTTGGGGAAGGAGGGAAGCGTTGGGAGGGTGGTATTATGTCTCCCCCTACGTCTGTTTTTGGGGGTCGAGAGACTGTGAGGGGGCCAGAGTTTCAAGAATGTATTCGAGTAGGATTGAAAGACAGGGGGGTCGAAAGAAGGGGGTGTTGTCGGGCGCATATGCCTCCCTCTTTTCTCTCAACCCACCCCCATTATGGAAGGGCCTGTCTGTGTCACAGAGTCTGTTTTGGAGACATGCTCTCTCTCTCTCTCTCTCTCTCTCCTTTCTCTTCTCAAGCTGTTTTATGCCTCTTTTCAACCTCCTTTCTCTCTTTGCTCCTCTTTCCCTTCAACCATCCCTGGACAAGAACATTTGCAAACCTTATGTGTGCCAGAGAGTGTGTTTAAGAGACCCGAGAGTATAGGCATGGTCTCTCTCTGCTCTCACCTCCTTTTCGCCGCTGAAGCTGTTTTGTGAGTCTTCTTTGCCTTTCACCATCCCTTGGTAGGCTTCCCCTCAATCTGCAAGCATTGTGTGCGCCAGAGAGTGTGTTTGTGAGGCTGAGAGTAGAGGCATAGCATCTCTGTCTCTCCCCTTTCCCCTCTGAAGCTTTTTTATTAGTCTTCTTAATCTCCTTTCTCGGTTGTGAGGCTGAGAGTGTAGGCACAGTGTCTGTGTCCCTCCCCCTTTCCCTTCTGAAGCTGTTTCATGAGTCTTCTCAACCTCCCTTCTTGCTTTGCCTTCCACCGTCCATGGATAAGCTCCACTTTCTCTGTTTGTAAACATCATGCATGCGGGAAGAGTGTGTGTTTGTGACGCTGAGAGTGTAGGTTTGGTCTCTCTCGCTCCTGAAGCTGTTTTATGCCTCTTTTCAACCTGAGTTCTCTCTTTGCTTCTTTTTGCTTCCAACCATCCCTGGTTAAGATGAAGTTTGTAAACATCAGAGCGAGTGAGTGTGTGTTCGTGAAGCTGAAAGTGTAGATTGTGTAGGAGAATGTGTTTGTGAGGCTAAGAGTGTAGCCATAGTGTCTGTGTATCTCCTTTTTGCTCTCTGAAGCTGTTTTATGAGTCTTTTCAACCGCAGTTCTCTTTGCTCCTCTTTGCTTCCAACCATCCCTGGATAAGTTGAAGTTTGCAAACATTATCCACGCTAGAGAATGTGTGTTTATGAAGGCCGTGTAGGAGAATGTGTTTGTGAGAATGTGTGTTTGTGTGGGCTGTGTAGGAGAGTGTGTTTATGAGGCTTAGAGTGTAGGCATAGTGTCTGTGTCTCTCCCTTTTGCTCTCTAAAGCTGGTTTATGAGTCCTTTCAACCTCAGTTCTCTTTGCTCCTCTTTGATTCCAACCATCCCTGAATAAGCTGAAGTTTGCAAACATTATCCTCGCTAGAGAATGTGTGTTTGTGAAGCTGAAAGTGTAGGCTGTGTAGGCGAGTGTGTTTGTGAAGCTGAGAGTGTAGGCATAGTGTTTGGGTCTCTCCCCTTTCCCTCCTGAAGCTGTTTCATCAGTCTTCTCAATCTCCTTTCTCGCTTGTGAGGCTGAGAGTGTAGGCATAGCGACTGTGTCTCCCCCTTTCCCCCTCTAAAGCTGTTTTACGAGTCTTTCCAACCTCAGTTCTCTCTTTGCTTCTGTTTGCTTTCAACCATCCCTGGATAAGCCGAAGTTTGCAAACATTATCAGTGTGTTTTGGAGAGCGAGACTGCAGGCATGGTGCCTGCGTCCCTCTCGCCTAGTCTGGAGCTGTTTCCTGCGTTTTCTCAACCTCCTTTCTCTCTCTCTCGCTCCCTCCCTCCCTTCGCCCCCGCCTCCCCTCCCCTCCAACCACCCCAGCAGCCGCCGGACGGAGGAGAGGCAGGCAGACCTACAGCCGCTACCAGACCCTGGAGCTGGAGAAGGAGTTCCTCTTCAACCCGTACCTGACCCGCAAGCGGAGGATCGAGGTCTCGCACGCGCTGGGACTGACCGAAAGGCAAGTCAAAATCTGGTTTCAGAACAGGCGGATGAAGTGGAAAAAGGAGAACAACAAAGATAAGTTCCCGAGCAGCAAATGCGAACAGGAAGAGCTGGAGAAACAGAAAATGGAAAGGGCGCAGGAGGTGGAAGAGGGCGGAGAAGCACAGCCCGGGGACAAGAAGTAGGAGCTGGACGGATGGACAGGCAAGCCGCCCCCTCCTCCCAGCAAGCCTGCTGGCCACTTGGCCGGAGAGGTGGTCCGTGGCTGGGACTGAGGAGGGGGCAACGACCCTCCTAAGGGCCTGGGGGAAGCTTCCCCTTCTTCATTGCTGTAAAACAATATAGCTGTGAGCGTCTTCTTCTCCTGGTTGTCCTTTGATACATACGATGAACTATATCTATATTTAAAACGGGGGGAGGGAGGCAGGGGGGTCAGAGAAAGGGAGGGGGGAAAGAAGAGAGATCCTAGGGTCTTTTTAGCCTTGTTATTATTTTTTTGTTTTCTCGCCAGTATAAAAAAATAAAAATAAAAATTAGTACTAGTGTAATGCAATAGCTTCTGTTAACCATGACTGTGAACATTCTCCCTCTCTCCACCTCTTCCCCCTCCCTTCTCTTTTCATCCTTCACACTCCCCTCCCTCTTTTATCTGGGATGTGGGGCAGGCTCTCAGTGCTGCAGGAATTATGTCAAAATAATATCCTGCAGTTTGGAAGGCTTCCCTTCTGCTATCTTTCTCTTCTCCCCCCCCCCCTTTTCTTTCTCATATAAATATATATAGAAAAGATGTGAAAATGATACCTAGTGCACTTTTGAAACCCATCGCCCCCTCCTCATGTTTACTTCCCCTTCTCTTCCCTTGTTGTGGTTAAACTCTTCTGGAGGTAGCTCTGAAAAAACAAACAAAAAAACACACCTGACAACATGAAACTGCCTATTTATGCTGTAGTTGTCTCCACTTTTGTTTTGTTGTTGCTGTTGTTGAGTTCGTTCCCAACTTTCGGGGTCTCGTTTTGCTTTTTCTTAATGCGTTTGTCTTTCTGTGTGTATCTCTATCTTTCAAAGGCAAGGGGGGTGATTTTAAAAGGGGTTCCCCCTCCCTCCTTCCCTCTCTCTTTTTCTCTACTTTAGGTTAGCATGCGCACAGTGGAAGAAGTTGTAAAAAGTGTTTCTTTCTTTCTTTCAACTCCCCCCCTTCCCCGCCCCCTGGGTTTTTGGGTTCTTTTTCCCCTTTAGGTTTACTGTGAAAAATGATAATAATAATAATAAAAGAGAATGTATACTGTATACGTGAATTACTTTATGGGGCGGGCGGGGAAACTAACGCTATATTTTGTTGTTCTTTCTTCACTTTGTTCTATTGTGGGAGCTTGGGAGCAGCGGAAAAAAGGAGTTACAATAAAGTTTACAAGCCACAATTTGCCCCGTGATGCTGTCCTTTCTTCACCCAGCTCCACATCTTGGAAGGAAAAGTTTTTTTAAAAAACTCCAAGGAACTTTTGAAGACATCCCGAAGAAAGCTGTGGCTTTGAATGGACACACCTGAAATGTTAAGCGATGGGAAGAAGAGGGCAAGGAGGCTATGTGTGTCTATGTGTGTTACAAAGTGTGCTGCAATCATTTCCTTCATGGTCTCAGGAGGCTGGGTGGGTGGCCTTCCTGTCTCCAAAGTGAGTTTTTCCGGGTTGTATGGCCATGTTCCAGAAGCATTCTCTCCTGACAGTTTTGCCCACATCTGTGGCAGGCATCATCAGAGGTGATGAGGTCTGTTGGCAACCAGGCAAATAGGGTTTACCTCCCAACAAAGGATTCCCCCAGGCAGGAAGCAGCCAGGCTTTGAAACTGCAAGGTCATTCAATGCTAATCAAGTTGGCCAATTGCAACATTCACACTTGCCTCATGCAGACAAGAGTTCTTTCTCCCATCCTGGATATTCCACAGATATATAAGCCCACTTGCCTGGTTTCCAACAGACCTCACAACTTCTGAGGATGCCTGCCATAGATGTGAGCCAAATGCCTGGAACATGGCCATACAGCCAGGAAAACAAACAGCAACCCGAAGTTGGTTGTGTTTGTGTAAGTGGGCCTGGATTTGTGTCACCTCCTATTTCCATTTCCGAGCTCCTGCTTCCTTTTCCCTTCCCAAAACTCTTCTCCTGCAGTCTGTGGAAAGCTGTCACTTTTTCCTTCCTTCTCAGAAGGAGTCTAAACTATGATGCATACACCCTCCTTATTACTCCCCTCCCTTTTCCCCTCTTTTTTTGGCAACTTAACCTTGAAAAGAGGGACTCCTGCCAATCCCTTAACTGCAAGGCCATCTTTATTCTTATTTGTCATAGCCAGCTTTGATAAGTTTCAATGAAACCTGTGCCTTGCCATTCCCTCCTCCTCTTCTCTCTCTCTCTATCCTCTCTCTCCTTCTCCCTCCCCAATTCCTCTCTTCTTTTCTTTTTTCCTTTTTGGAAACCTCTCTTGCTTCCCCAGCAGAAAGCAGAGGAACCAGCTGGTCACATTTTCCCCCTCTCTGTAATTGAGTCCAGCAGAAGAGCTGACACGCTTAAATAGAGATCTGTTGTAATCTTTTCCTCCTCCCTCTCTCCCCCTTCCGCCAGTTGAAAAAAAAAAGAGCAAGCAAAGCCAGCTCTCAGACCCAACGCCTGTGGCAGTGGAATAAATTACACATAGAACTGAATGGCCTATAGAAGGGGAGATATGGAAGGGGAAGGGGGAGAGAAGGCTGGAAGTGAAATATTAACTCTCGGGGAGGGGAGGTGGTGGGCGGGAGACAAAGATAGGACTCCCTTTCCGGGGAAGTCGGGATGAAGCCGGTGCCCAGAGAATGTCAGGACAGGCACCAGTCCCGAGGCTGCGGGATAAGGCGGGATAGATCACCCAACTCAGGCCAACAACAAAACCTAGATAATGGGAGCTAAGACAGGGTCGATGCTGCAGTTTGAAATGCAGTTATGATACTGATTCCACTGTGTTATATGAGTCTACACTTGGCATAGGCAAATTTGGTTCCTCCAGGTGTTTTGGACTTCAACTCCCACCATTCCTGACAGCCTCAGGCCCTTTCCTTTCCTCCCCTCAGCTGCTTAAGTGTGGACTTCAACTCTCGCTTAAGATGGACTTCAACTCCGACCATTCCCGACAGCCTCAGGCCCTTTTCTTCCTCCCTCAGCTGCTTAAGTGTGGACTTCAACTCCCACTTAAGATGGACTTCAACTCCCAACATTCCTGACAGCCCCAGGCCCTTTTCTCCCCTCCCCCCCTCAGCCGCTTAAATGTGGACTTACTCCCACTTAAGATGGATTTCAACTCCCACCATTCCTGACAGCCTCAGGCCCTTTTTCTTTCCCCCTCAGCTGCTTAAGTCTAGACCAACTCCCACTTAAGATGGACTTCAACTCCCACCATTCCTGACAGCCTCAGGCCCTTTTCTTTCCCCCTCAGCCGCTTAAGTGTGGACTTCAACTCCCGCTTAAGATGGACTTCAACTCCTACCATTCCTAACAGCCTTAGGAAGGAGCCTGAGGCCGTTAGGAAGAGTGGGAATTAAAGTCCAAAACACGCGGAGGGCCCAGGTTTGCCCATGCCTGGTCTACACTGACCTGATAATACAGTTCAAACTACATTATATAGCAGTTTAGATCCAATTCTGATCTGCTCCTGAGCGTTCCTACTTTTTCAATACCTTTTTTTGGAAGCTAAAGTGGCCACCATCTCGCCGGAAGTTGGTCCCGGGGTTTGTGCCCTCCTCCTTGCCACTCCATCTTCCTCCCTGCCTTTGGTTTGGTTTCTCCTCTTCCTTATTAGCTCCCTTCTCCTTTTCTTCCCCATGAATTCCCGACACACACACACACAGAGCCTCCTGAGATGCTCTTTTGATTGCCTTTGCCCTCTCCTTCCCTTCTCTCCCCTCCTTTCCTTCCTTCTCCTCCGCTTTCCCTGCTCCTCTTGCTGGGCAGAAACTGATACCACCGGGGGCCCGGCTTATTGACCCGCCTGCTGCCCACTTCGGCTCCTTCCCGCTTCTGCCTTGGGGAGGCTCGGTCTCCTCCGCATCAATAATGCATCGCCTTGTATCAATCCCACGCCGGACTCCATCCATACAAGAGCGTCGTTTCCCCCCTTTCCCGTCTTCGGAGGGGGACAGCTTGGGAGGTGGAGGGGGGGGGAGGGAAAAGCGAGGGGAGGGAGGAAGCGGGCGCTGATTGGCGGCCCCTGAGTCACGTGGCCCGGAGTCACATGGCCCGGGGAGGAAAAAGGGGGTCCTTTTTGGTGTAAATCTGGAGTCTAATTCCGTAATATATCACGGTACCTCGTAAAACCGACACTAAAACGTCCCGGCCTACAAATCACCCGGCCAGATTATGAGTTCATTGTATTATGCGAATGCTTTATTTTCTAAATATCAGGCCGCAAATTCGGTTTTCCCCTCCGGAGTGTTTCCTGAGCAAACTTCGTGCGCCTTCGCCTCCAATGCCCCGCGCGGCGGCGGCGGCGGCTATGGCTCGGGCGCCACGGCCTCCTTCGCGGCCTCCATGCCGGGCTTGTACCCCAGCGGCGGGGCCATGCACCCCCAGGGCCCCGGCATGTACCCCGGCGGCTACGGCCTGGAAGCCGGCTCCTTCAACATGCACTGCTCCCCCTTCGAGCAGAACCTCTCCGTGATGTGTCCCGGCGGCGGCGGAGATGCCTCCAAACCCAACGGCAACAAAAGCGGGGACCAGAGGGACGCCGAGCTGAGGCACGAGAGCAACTTGCGCATCTATCCCTGGATGCGGAGCACAGGTGAGGCAGAGAGAGACGGAGACAGAGAGAGGGAAGACGGGCCAGAAGCGAATGTAAATGATCGGGAAGGGAGGGGAAGTTGTCTTGTTTGGAGGGAGGAGGAGGAGGAAAGGCGGGGGGGGGGGGGGGGGAGGGTCCTCTATGCGAACTGGTTCTCTATGCGGTCCTCGACGGTCCTCTATGCCTTTTATGACGTTTGCCTCAAAATGAATCTCTCTTTGTCACTCCCTCCCCCTTCTCCCCCCTCCCTTTTTGCCTCAAAATGAATCTCTCTTTGTCCCTCCCTCCCCCTTCCCCCCCCTCCCACGACCCCCCCCCCCCGCAAGAAAGTAAGGCTTAAACAAAGTCGCCGTTTTTAATATTTATTAGTTCGACTCTTCCTGCTGTTGGCTTCCTTTACGCAAAGGGCTTGTGTGTATCTTGGGAAGACGAGAGAGTCAAAAGGGTGGGTGGGTGGGGGGGGGTAACCTATCTCTCTCTTTTCCCCTTTGCTTCCTTCTCTCTGTCTCCTTCTCTTTTTCTCTCTGCCTCCTTCTCTCTTTGGGCCCTTCCACGGAGCCCTATATCCCAGAATATAAAAGCAGAAAATCCCACAATATCTGCTTTGAACTGGGACATCTGAGTCTACACTCAGGGCCCTTCCACACAGACCTATATCCCAGAATATCAAGGCAGAAAATCCCACAATATCTGCTTTGAGTTGAGATATCTGAGTCCACACTCAGGCCCCTTCCACACAGCCCAATATCCCAGAATATTAAGGCAGAAAATCCCATATTATCGGAGTGTCTACTCAGATAAGTGACATTCAGTCTGTTTTTATGTTGGCTTGGAACTTCGGAAAACCGGGGTTCAAATCCCCATTCAGACATGCAAACCAATTCAGTGACTTTGTACAAGTCACAGCTCTTGGCCTCAGAGGAAGGCAAAGGCAAACATCCTTTGAATATTATGATTAATAAATAAATAAAAATAAATAACCCAGTTCAAAGCAGGCGTTGTGGGATTTTCTGCCTTGATATTCTGGGATATAGGGCTATGTGGAAGGCCCCCTACTCTCTTCCTCCTCTCTTTCTCTATGCAATGGTCAGTTTGGAATAAGTTTTCCTCAGACTGGGCTCTCAGGGTAGTGAAAGAAAGCATTATTATTGTTTGTTAATAGCTATATTGACTCTTTTGCACAATGACACCGGGAACAGAAATGCCAGAGGAATGGCAGAAAGTGGGGAGTTGGGGGGTGAGGGGAGGGCCGAAGCAAACAAGGAGCGTATCCTTTACGGTATGAGCAGCCTCTTTGAATGTATTGGACCCCAGCTGAGAAGGCATTTCTTTTGCACTTTTGCACCCCACCAGCTCTGTTTCTGCCCCCTCACCCAAAAACCCCTCTGTATTCCAATCTTAATCACGAGTCGGAGATTCCATTTTCAATTCCAGTTCTCTGGAAGAGGAAGTCGGAAAGGACAGGAAGGAGAGGAAGAAAGGAAGAATAGAGAGATAGATAGATAGATAGATAGATAGATAGATAGATATAGATAGATAGATAGATAGATAGATAGATAGATAGTGTAGATAGATAGATAGATAGATAGATAGATAGATAGATAGATAGATAGATAGATAGATAGATAGATAGAGATGGATGGATGGATGGATGGATGGATGGATGGATGGATGGATGGATAGATAGATATTCTCCAGATGCAGTCCTTATCTTCACAAACTCTGAGGATGTCTGCCATAGATGCAGGCGAAACGTCAGGAGAGAATGCTTCTGGAACATGGCCATATAGCCAAAAAACTTACAACCACTCAGTGATTCCGGATGGCCTTCGACAATATATTCCTTATTTTGTTTGGGAATGTGTATCAGTTTTCTTGGAGGGAGAACCGAGGATAATATAACAGCGCTTATAAATGTTAGATTTTGATTTTGATCCTAACTTCTTATGAGTGGACACCCCGCTTTATCTGCCTTTCTGCCTGGGTCTGCCTGCAGTTGCTGGAAAGGCAGTGTAAGATATTCCCTTCCTCTCTGACTTTGCCAGGACATCTGTCAAAACAGAGAGGCAGCGGAACCCACCAAAGACTGATCTTTCATGTCCGGAACTCCCTTGCTCTTCCTGTTATATGCCCAGAAACCTATCCAAAAAAACCACTGGAATCCTCCTTGTGGGATGGGTGGGATTGGTGCTTCCCTTATCCAGGCTTCCCAGGAAATTAAGTCTATTTCAACAGGGCCGGTAGAAGAAGGCATAGTATTCGGTGAAACTCCTATAACCTTGAAGTGTGAAAGCCTTCCAGTTGAATACAAGGCTTCCTCAGACCCCTTCTACACAGCTGAATAAAACCCCACCTTATCTGCTTTGAACTGGAATATATGGTAGTGTGGACTCAGATAACCCAGTTCAAAGCAGATATTGTGGGATTTTTGCCTTGATAGTCTGGATTATATGGCCCTCAGGGAAGGGCCCTCAGATCTGAAGAGTATTTGGGAGAAATCACTGCAGTTGTAATGCACTGCATACTTACTTACCTTAAGTCTTACAGAATTCCGTTTTTAATAGGCAGTTCCTCCTGAAGTCGTGTGTGTGTTTATGTGTGTAAGGAAACTCAGGCCAAAGTATTCATTTCCCTTCTTTGTAAATTTCTCAGGAAATCATAAGTCAAACTTCGAAAGGTATGGTGGCACTGGGCATACCCATTCCTCATTGTCCAAGACTGATCTGGCCAGGATTATAAAGTGTAAAGAAATGAAAGGAAATCCAGCAGCTTGGCTTTTGCAACTGTGCCTTTATTCTGATTATTTTTCTGCACCATTGATGTTCCTGGGCATAGAATCACCCGGGTGCTGGTGCTTCTTGACAGCAAAGTCCTTTTTGATCTGTCTTTCCCCCTCTGATTGACAACTGTACATGATAGTCGCTAGGATGGGAACATTGCTCCTAGAAGTCCCCCATAGGAGAGCAAAGGTGTTATGATGATATGATCTGAGTACCAAATGGCGCAATGCTTTTATGGGGATGGGGGAGAGCACTTTTATTCGAGTCACTCCTGACTAAATCCTGGAGGAGTCCACTCTGTAGACAACACACAGCAAGAAGTACATAGGTAAGAAAAGAGATTGGCAGACTTATATCTTGCCACAAAGCTTAGGCCAGTATCTAGCCCTGTCAAAAGGTGTCAGTTGAGGGCCTCTCGTCCCATCTTTTTCCATCTCCAGCTCTACCACTGCCTATCTGGCTTCTGAGGTAGGTAATCTGAGCATATCTATCTATCTATCTATCTATCTATCTATCTATCTATCTATCTATCTATCTATCTATCTATCTATCACTATAAGCATAAAACAGAAAATATTCATTCATATAATTAGAATTAGGTTTATTATATTTGCCAGTTTTGAAAGTTGGACATTACAGCTAATCATGTATTTTTCTGAGTGGGGGGGGGGAGGGGGTGGAAGGAAGAAGGAAGGAAAGAGAGAGAGGCCCCTTCCACACAGCTGAATAAAATCCCACATTTTTTGCTTTGAACTGGAATATATGGCAGTGTGGACTCAGATAACCCAGTTCAAAGCAGATATTGTGAGATTTTTCTGCCTTAATATTCTGGTTTATAGGGTTGTGTAGAAGGGCCTTATATCTTTATATAGGGCATGCAGCAAAGATCTTATCTTGTGAGTGGTAAAGAAGGGTGAGAATATAGGTATCAAGCCTAGAATTTAAAGCAAATTGAGAAAAAAATGAGGTGAGATGTAGCCAAGGGGGTGAAAGGCATTTAGACACAGTTCTTCAAAACCTCAGCCTCATAGGTCTTCTTTCTGACTGCGCCTTTGCTCATAATATACACCCAAGTCCTTATTTGTGTGTCTCTGGAGTAAAAGAACCCCCTCCTCTTCCCACTTCTTTTGAAGCAAGAGCTACTGTTTTTTTGGAAGGAGGGAGGGGGAGTAAAATGGTAGCTTCTGGAAGACATACCGTCTTGCTAACTGGAGACAACAAGGTCTCTTTTACTTTTTTGCCAGTTCTCATAACTTCAAATCGACCTTAAATCTATTTAGGGAGTTTCTTTTACTTCCCTTCTTCTTCTCCTCTTCGCTTTCTTTCTCTTTCTCCCCCCTTTCCCAGTTTTCCTCCCGCATCAACGCCTTTCTTGTCTACTCTTTAGGGCTTGATATGGGAGATTCCGTTGACTGTGTCCTGGTTGCCCCATTCAAGAGAGGTTTATGGTGCTCCCTTCAAGGGGTTTTACAACCCACATTCCACAGACATCTTAGCCAACTCTCCCCCATAGACACCCTCTCTCTTTACAGCCAGTCGGGCTATTCCTTTCTTGAAGAGAAAGACTATGGCTACAACGACCCCCCTTTTTTCACGCCATTTTTTTTTGTAACAGCAAACACCCTAAAATCTCCAAGGAAGTTTCAAATGAATTGTGTTGGTGTGGGAGATGAAGGCAAGAATCCGTGGACTGAAAAAAAACAAAACAAAACATCTCAACCAGGAGCATCGCCTCCACTTTAGGGAAACATTCCCACAAGCGGACTCAAGAAATGACAGGAAAATGGATCCCTGGTTTGAATCCAGATTCTTTGGAAGCCAGAGTAAATAGTTGTGGTCAGCGAGAGGACTCTGGCTTTGAGGCATTCCAAACTGGGAAAACTTTGTCGACCAGCTTCCGAATTCCCTTGTTGGCACACTCAAATATCATTTTTTTTTCAAGAGTCGGGGGTGGAGAGGGGGGAAAATAACACACAATCTGAAAAAGGAAGGAAGTAACATTACCCACACACATTACCCACACACCAACACCACACTGGTTTGAAGAAGCGGCTCTCCAGATGTGGAAATTCATACAAGATGTTTCCCTGAGATTCAAAGCATTCCGAGTTTTTATTTTGTGTGGGCGGGAAGGGCAGCTCGACACGATAAGCCTTAAACACTTAAGAAAAGAGAAACAACTCACCTTTTGAACACATTTCCCTCCCCTGCGCATCTGTTTCAAATAATAAGCCACGTGGAGTGAAATGTGGACATTACTTTATTTGGAAAGATCGATTTCAAACTTTGGGGGCAAAATTAGAAACAGTAGTTACTAGTTACATTGTCCTAAATCCCTGAAACTCAGCAAAACTTATTTATAAATAGAGATGGAGAAATCTCCGCTACACCTTTGATTTAGTGGGATATATTTTGCGATGTTGAAGCTGAAAATTAAATGATTGGATAAAGCAAATGAGAATTCACTGTTGAAGTGAGAGAATAAATGCAGGCTCTAATCTTTCCTTTCCCCCCCCTTTCCTTCCACTATCCTATGCATTCCTGTTCATGAATAAATTCCACTAAATTATGTCTAACTTACTCCCAGATAAGTGCGTATATATTGATTCCTTTAACATTTATGTGCTGTGTATTTTTCCTGCGTGTTGTCTACTTTTATTTTAAAAATAATAACATATAATAATAGTAATAATAATAATAATAATGGTGTTGTATTATGTATTATATAGTATATAGTATATAGTATATAATATATATTGTAATATAATATAAGAATATATAATAATACTATTATATATTATAATATATATACAGCACTATTATTATTATTATTATTTTATTATGTTCCTGCGTGTTGTCTACTTTTATTTTAAATATATTATTATATATAATACTAATAATGGTGCTGTATTATTTATTATATAGTATGTAATATATAGTATATAATATACATTGTAATATAATATATATATATTATACTATTATATATATATATATACACACACACAGCACCATTATTTTTTTATTATGTTCCTGCATGTTGTCTACTTTCATTTTAAATATAGTATGAATACAATATATAATAATAATGGTGTTGTATTATATAATATATATTATATATTAAAATATAATATAATAATAAGTAATATATTATTATATATAATTATATTATATTATATTAATATCTATCTAGCTATCTATCTATAGCACCATAATAATAATGTTGTATTATATATTATATAATATGTATTATATATTAAAATATAATGTAATAATAAGTAATATATTATTATATTATATTATATTAATATCTATCTATCTATCTATAGCACCATAATAATAATGGTGTTGTATTATATATTATATAATATATATAATATATTAAAATATAATATAATAAGTAATATTATATTATATTATATTACATTATATTATATTATATTATATTAATATCTATCTATGTATAGCACCATTATTATTATTTTATTATAGAATATATTATAATGATATTATATATATATACAGTACCATTGTTATTATTATTGTTATTCTATACTATAATATATTATAATAAGGTATTATTAAATTCAAAATAAAAGTGGACAACATGCAGGAAAAATACACAGCACATAAATTATTATATTGTATATTATTATTATTATTCATAATATACACTTCATTTAATTTGAGGAGTAACAGAAAAGCCAGCTAATCGAGACAGGGCTACTAGGAATTAGAAAACAACTACAAGGAGGAAAGAACTGAATGTCTTTGTGTATTGCTTTTACAGGGACTGACAGAAAACGAGGCCGCCAGACCTACACCAGGTACCAAACTCTGGAACTGGAGAAGGAATTCCATTACAACCGTTACTTGACCAGACGGCGACGTATAGAGATAGCCCACGCTTTGTGTCTTACAGAAAGACAGATCAAAATCTGGTTCCAGAACAGGCGCATGAAGTGGAAAAAAGAAAACAAACCCGCAGGTCCGGGCTCCAACAGCCAGGACAAACCAGAGGCGGAGGAAGACGAGGAGGAATGAAAAAGAAAGAGTGGGGAAAGGGTGGGGAGGAAGAATGAGAGTGAAAGTGAAGGCAAGAGAGAGAGAGAGGTGGGCGAGAAGAAGCGTGGAGTGAAAAAATAAGAGAGAGAACTGACCCTCCTGTCCCGAAAACGAAAGCAAGAACCAGAAATGGGGGGGAAAAAAAGAAAGAACCAGTAAAGACTCTCAGTAAACTGAAAAGACGGTTGCTTCGCTTTCTTGACACTTGGAAAACTACCTATATTAATTAACATTTCTCTCCTCTTTTGTTGTTGTTTTTTTGTACGACAAAATCGATATTAAACCTACCTATTCAATATCTCTTTAGAATAAAATATAGATGACGTTTTTGGTTCCTTACGTGGGTCTTCATATTGTCAAGTCTTTGTACATTGTTTTTGTTTCAAAAGAGGGTTCCTTCCCCTGTTTTTGTGTAATTTTATAAAAAAAATGAAGTAAAAATGTGGACGTGATTAGCACTTTTTTCATAGAATACGTGGAGTCCAAATGTATGAAGGGAACACAAGGCTTAGCTAAAATGTCTGTTGTACATACTTCCATGAGATCCCTGTCTTTCTCTTCTCCTCTTCCTCCCCTCTTGGTAGATTTGTGCCTCTCCGTCTGGTTGCTGGTGCTGTATTTTTCATGTTATTTTCGCTCTTTTTTATTTTTGGTTGGTATATATTTTTACATGTTCGGACAATGGACCACTTCCTTTATTATTGCTGTCACTAGAGCATTCGAAATTAATATTGTATGGAGTAAACAAAAGAAAACAACCATGTATATGATAGATAGCAAATAATTTAATCGTTGGCCAAGCCTTTTTTTATTTGTAATTCTGTGATTACTATGCGTAGAGAGACAGAAAAGATTAAAAAATAATCTTACTGAATCGTCTGAACTCCTGTCTGGTCATTGCTTGTTCTCCATTCATGACTCGTTCTTTGTTCCTAAGCAAAATCCACCCTTTGTGGAGTCCTTTCCGTGAAGAAGGCCTTACTCGTTTTGTAAACAGAGAGTAAGAAAAGCTCCTGGATCATGTCTTGAAGGTGTAAACCGGATTTTGAAGAAAACGGACCATTTGAAGAATCGCCTTCCAATCTGACGCCATTCTCCTGACTCTTCTACAATAAACAAACAAACAAATAGATTATAGGAATGTCAAAAGAAAGGGGAAAAAAAACAATATTTGGTTAAAATTTGTCCCAATAATGAACAATTGGATTTGACGGAATCACTGGGTTGTTGTAAGTTTTCAGGGCTGCGTGGCCATGTTCCAGAAGCATTCTCTCCTGACATTTCCCCTGCATCTATGGCAGGCATCCTCGGAGGCTGTGAAGTCTCACAACCTCTGAGGATGTCTGCCATAGATGCAGGCGAAACATCAGGAGAGAATGCTTCTGGTTCATAGCTTTACAGCCCGGAAAACTTACAACTGAAAACAGTTCCAGAAGCATTCTCTCCTGATATTTCGCCCACATCTATGGCAGGCATCCTCAGAGGTTCTGAGACCTCACAATCTCCGAGGATGCCTGCCCTAGATGAAGGCGAAACGTCAGGAGAGAATGCTTCTGGAACATGGCCATACAGCCCGGAAAACTTACAACAACTAAAAACTGCTCCAGGAGCATTCTCTCCTGACGTTTCGCCTGCATCTAGGGCAGGCATCCTCAGAAGTTCTGAGACCTCACAGTCTCCGAGGATGCCTGCCCTAGATGCAGGCGAAACGTCAGGAGAGAATGCTTCTGGAACATGGTCATACAGCCCGGAAAAACTTACAACATCCCAATTTGAGTTGACTATATGAAGTCAAAACAACCAGCTGGAGGAATAGCATAGGAGAAACCCTCTTGGCTAAGAAAAGGAAGCCCGTGAGTTCTATTCTAATGTTACCATCACTGGAAGTCCTTCTCGCTGTAATCATCATCCCAAAACCTACAAAAAGACAAGGATTGGAAATAAAAATAACAATAATAATAATATGCCACAGCCCATTGTTTTCCGTTTGTATTGGATTATTATTATTTTTACTCCCATTTCATTTTGGAATTTCTAAAAAAAACCACTTCAGTGGTTTTATGACAATATCTTTATTTCCCCAGTTATCGCCAACAGAAGCCAGGCATCAAAACAAATGTACAACTAATGGGAACAACTAAATACGCAAAAATAAACAAGGCGAAAACAATTGCGGGGATTTTTTGGCACCGTCCATAGATTCTTCCATTTTATGCTCCCTCCAGTTTGATAGATAGAATTTTCCAGATTTTGGGGACTTGAAGAGAAGAGTTTCGGCAGAGATATATATTTACTATTGATTATTTCCTTTTTTAAAAAGTGTACTTTTTTAAGAAGGAGGCTAACTATCATATTATTTATTTATTTCATGACAAATGCATTGTATAAATAAATATAAAACTGATAAAAACCGATAAAATAAAATAAATTATTATTATTAAAATAAAATATTTTATGTTATCAGTTTTTTATCAGTTTTATACTTATTTGTGCAATGCTTTTGACACGAAATTATTATTATTATTATTATTATTATTATTATTATTATTATTTCATTTCTATTCCAATTTCTTTTCCTAAAGGACACTCAAGAATGTAAGACAATATCCTCGCCTTCCTACATAGATAGAATTACTGACGACAAAAAAATAATTCAAAATAAAATAGAATGGAAATAGGTGAGGCTCGAGGCATTCTTTCTTATCACCATATAATGAAATCCGAGGTGTTTAATGAAACTGTTTCCTCTGAAAGGTGTTTTTCGGCAATTCCATTATCTTTCAAATTATACGAAAAGGAGCTTCTTTCAAAAAAGGGGGAATAACCCTAGAAATAGGGTTCTCAAATAATTTATTTGTTTATTATTCAATTCTCAAATTAAATGTGGAAAATAAAAATATGAGAAAAGTGTGTGCGTATGCCTGTTATATACAATTAATTATTAAATATATAAGTATATATACAATTTAAGTAACTGCCCGCCATGGAGAATAAAAATAATATGAGGGAAGAGTGTGTATGTGTGTTATATACAATTAATTGTTAAGCATATAAGTATATATACAATCCAAGTAACTGCCCGCTTTCACATATATACACACACACACTATTTGTTTCAATATGTCTGCGTATTTAACACGAATAGAAACAAACGCACAGATCGAATGAATAGCTACAATAGTCACACAGATATGGAATTATATATCTTATGTTAATACATGAGAAAAAATAATTGGCACCCGCCATGGATGGGTAGCTGCGAAGACTGGATTGGAGACATCCTATCGAGACCTATCTTTCTCTCTGTGTGTGTCTGGATGTGTTTCTATGGAGCCACTCATCCACAACATGGCTACTGTACGAGAATATCCGCCTTTGGAAGACAAGGTGAGGTCTGAAAAACCCAAGGAGCAGAAACAGTATATTTGTTTCCCTATGGAAAGTAGGCGGGGGGGGGGGGGGGGGGGGGGGGAGAGGACTAATATCATAAGCACCCTTTAGATGGCGGAAAATGAGTTCTAGAACAATCCTACCGCTCACCTAGACCAGTTTTGCTGCATTGGACCACTACTATTGTTTCTGTGGCATGTACCACTGCGGTAGTAGTGTACGCATGGACCGCCCTAGTGCGCCTGTGCGCATAGGTCTCTTTCTCTCATCCGCTATATATGGAAAAGACAGGCAGAAGGTGAAACAAGCACAAGAATATAGATATAGATATATTTATAGATTAGATATAGATATATATATGCAAAATAATGTGTATATATGTTTGTGTATATATGTGTGTGGTGTGTGTGTTCATTCTTGTTCATATGTGCTATACACACTATATATATATATATATATAGTGTGTGTGTGTATGAGCACATATGCACAAGAATGATCACACACACATATATACACAAAGATACATACACATTATTTTGCATATATATATATATAATCTATAAATATATCTATATATCTATTATATATATATAGACACACACAGAGATATATACAAAATAATGTGTGTGTATGTATATATGTGTGTGTGTATTCATTTCATTCTTGTGCATATGTGCACATACACGCCCATATATATATATATATATATATATATATATATATATATATATATATATATATATATATCTCCACCCGCTCAACTACTCACAATCCGTATGTTGTATTTTCGGCAAGTATTGGTCCCCTTCTCCTACATATCTGTCTTTGGCGAAAATTTTACCACTTTTTCTCATCCTACCCTGCAATAATACTAAAGCGGGGAGAAACTGGGTTAGGAGAATTAGGGAAAAAAATCAACATTTTCATTTTGGGGGCGAATTCCCGGAATGAGACCCGCCTCTCCTTCGAAAAATAGGTATGTCATTTAAAAAAATCAGATTAAATATCCTAGTATTTTGTGTTTTTCCTTCACAAAGCCACCCCTTCTCCAAAAAGAGTCCTTTAAAAATAATATGGCGACCCACCCCTTAACACACCCCTCACATAGGTAGGTAATTTAAAAAAATCAGATTAAAAATCCTAGTATTTTGTGTTTTTCCTTCACAAAGCAACCCCCTCTCCAAAAAGGAACCTTTAAAAATAATATGGCGACCCACCCATCAACACACATCAATTAATGATTTCAGGTATATCTATTTTTTTTAAAAAAAATACATCTGCAGAACCACATCTTGAGGCATGAGATGCTTTTCTGTGGGTCTTTTCGCCTTTCCGTGGATAAGGGGGCTGTTCAAGGGCCCCCCATCGGGAAAATGGAGAAGGCGGGGGGGGGGGGCTGCGCAGGGTCTTTGCATCTTCTCCTTCTTTGGGTTTTTTGAAAAAAAGAAAAGATGGCGGCGGAGAAAAAGACTGCTGTTAAAGCAGTCATGAAGAAATGCAATAAATTCCTTGTTGTTTTATGAAAATTTACAACTTTGTGATAGAACTTTATGAGTGGCTGGGTGCTGCGATTGGCCAGACCTGGTCATGTGGACTGCTAACCGTGAACATGAACTTTTTATGATTTCCCATGTGGTTATTCTACCATTCTTTTGGCCGCTGTACCTTGGGTCGGATCACTGTCCTCTGTAGGACTATCGCCTCTTTTAACATTATCTGTTTTGTTTTTTGTTTTTTTAGTTTCGTGTATAAGCTGGATAGGGCTAAAAATAGAGGAGAAGAAAGGCAAGCTAAGCTCTCTCTCTCTCTCTTACCCACACACACACACACACACACACACACAAACAGATCTAGGAGAGAGTTTAGACTGCTAATATACTGAAATCCCCGCCCTTTCCGTTCCTTAATTCTGTAGGTTCAATTTCCATATTTGATTTTGGGTTCTCTGTCTAGTGATTGAGAGAGAGAGAGAGAGACTCTGCACCGGATGGAGGCTTTTGTCATTCTTCATAAAAGGGAAGTTACTCCATTTTCGGTGCAAAAGGACACTGCAAAAGGGAGGGAAATAGTCGCAATGGACGGCTATCAGGTTGGGACAATATTTGTCAGCTTAGGCATAATAGCAAACGCAACTCGCCCCCCTCCTCCTCCTTCTCCTCCTCCGTTTCTTCTTCCTCCTCCTCTAACTCGCAGACGGATGAGCTTCCAAAGGTAAGGCAATCCATTTCTATTTTCTTTCTTGTGTTTTTATCAGAAGCCTGTCTTTCCGTTTGTTTAAAGGAATAGCAAAATTAATTGGAGTGTGAGACAGTGTGAGACTACAGGAGAAGATGTATTGCTAAATGTATATTTCCATAAGTAAGGAGGAATTGAAGGAGGTAGGGAAGGAAGGAAGGAGGGAAGGAAAGAAGGAAGGAAGGAAAGAAGGAAGGAAGGGGGAAAGGAAAGAAGGGGGAAGGAAGAAAAGAAGGAAGGAAGGAAGGAAGGAAGGAAGGAAAAAGGAAAGAAGGGAGGAAGGAATGATGGAAGGAAGGAAGGAAGGAAGGAAGGAAGGAAGGAAGGAAGGAAGGAAGGAAGGAAGGAAGGAAGGAAGGGAAAAAGGAAAGAAGGGAGGGAGGAAGGATGGAAGGAAGAAAAGAAGGAATGAAGGGAAACAAGGAAAGAAGGGAGGAAGGAAGGGGTGTGTACCATAAAATGAGTCTTGAGAAATATTGATGTCACCTGGCTATAGGGTTTAAGGTGAATTCCTGCAGCATTCAACTGAAGGTAGCTATCTATCTATCTATCTGAATATAAATATATATTTCCAGGGGGGAAATATACAGCTTACGTGGGCTCTTTTTGGTCCTTTTTTCCCCCACTTCAAAGCTTCATTTTAGGAAGTTTTGTGCCACAGACAGTTCGATTCGGATCCTTTTCTTTCAAGGTGTTGCGAGGAGGCGACTTGAGTTCATTATTAATTTTCCTTCCAAAAATCTCTTCCTTCGTACCTAGGTTTGGGGAGATAGGAAAATAAGGAAAGGGAGAATTAATAAAAGGGGGAAAATAATGTTTGGAATGTCGATCCGATTTTAAAACCAAGTAGAGACAGACCTGAAAATAAATTATAGCAAGGGAAGGAGATTCATGAATGGCAGATGGATTGTGATCCATTGGTTTTGTTTTTTTTAAGTTTTCAAAAAAAAATGCTTTTGCTTCTATGTGTGCATATATTTCATTCAGGATTTGAATCGCGTGCTTGTATGTGTGTCTTCGGGGAGAACGTATTATGTATGCTCCAAAGAACAAACATTTCCCTTTTAAAATATCCAAGGAAATGGATAAGCTTGCTGTTTATGAGTGGGGTGAAGAAGGGAATGGAGATGCGGGAAATTATTGTAAAATATTTCACGGCTGACCTGCTTACTGTACGGTGATTATGGTGTTCACGGCTATGTTTGAAAAAGAATTAGCTGCTATTTGAAAAATGGATATGGTACATGGAGCTAGTGGTCAATTTAGTGTATGTGGTTTTAAAAAATCCTATAGAACTGGATTTTTTTAAAAAAAAATGTTTCTTGTTTCTGGAAATTATCTAAATGCTGGGAAAGAAAGGCTGGGGGGAAAAGAAAGTTGAAAACTTGGTAAAATAATTATCTGGCATTTTGATGTCATTGTAATTGTTCCGTATCCATTTCGCATGGTCTTTATTTCTAGCTTTAGGTGCCTTTCCTTTCAATTTTCGAAGACATGTGACACATAAATCAAAGTGTAATATATATATATAAAATTTAATATATTGTGTTGTCTGTAAATTATCTGTCATTTTTCTAAATCTGTTTATTCACAATTCGCTGGCTGTTTTATATCGCTAGACTTGTATGGATCTCCTGTGCAGTCAAAAAAAAAAAGAGATTGTTGGTGGTTTTTATCCATTTAATGAATTAAGGAATTGCTCTCATTTAAACACAACCAAGTTGTTTTGTCTCCCCGCCTCCCAAACAGAGCCCCCGTTTCTCTCTCTTTTGCAAGGGCTTCTTCGCCTTTACCATTTCTCCACTTGCTCATTTTGTGCTGTTTGCTGCCATCTACCGTCCAAGGGAGGAACTCCCCGGTTTTGTTTCCAGACTTTATATTGTAAAGTTTACATTGATTAATTTCCCATGAAAACTAGTTTAACTCGACCACGATTTTCAATTTCGACGCTTAATGTATGTTTATCCTGTGATGGAGTCAGCATGGCTTCACATGTTCTGGAAAGAGAGGCTAAAGGGAATTTCCATCCATGTGTTTTATCCAGATTTAGAGATTTGCTCTGCTTGGTTTTTTTTCCCAAAACGCTAGCCGCTATAGTAGGGCCTTGTTTTCATTTTCAAGTCTGTGAAATACTTGCAAGGCTTCCTGATTTTGCACTACCGTTGTGAATTGAACTGTTGGCGCCTCGCTGTGATAAAAAGGAGAGCTTTGTGTTGAAAGAAGATAGGGCTGTTCAGTTGGATAAGTGGCTAATGGCAAGCACTATGACCAAATATTTCAGTGTGTGGAACTAAATGCTCACGTTGGGGTTGTTGTGTGTGGTCATGTATTGGTTGGAGTTATACTTTACTGCTTTACTTTTACTACTAGCGGTGAACCAAAGTCTAATGATATGAAGGTAATAGTGGAGGAGGACATTGAGATGGTTCTTTGCCAACCTAACTCCATAAAAATTGTGATATGTTTAGAAACAATTTCCTTCCTTCCTTCCCATCTCTCCTTCCCTCTTGTCTACTCAAAACCAACCAAACTTACACCATAAGAAAACAAAGGCTCTATAACTAACCTTTCTTCAGGCCCTGCAGTAACTCCTCACTTGGGATCTACAGTTCCATGGAAGGCCCAGGAAGTTCTCCTACAAAAGTCCCATAAAACTGAATAGGGCTTTGGAGGCAGGGAGAACTTCCCATAGGATCCTGCCCTTATTCCTTCCTTTCAATCAAAACATTTCTTCAGTTCAGCCCACAAGGCTCCTACATTCCTGCTTTGCTTTGTTGCCTTTTGAAAAAAAACCCCACTAAATAAACCTGTGCTCAAAACCCCATTCATATTTAAAATACTCTTCCCCCCATATCCCTTCTCTTCTTTCCGGTCAAACCAATAAAGCAATATGGCGAGAGTTAAAAGGAAAGGAAAGCAATGTTACCCCCAAAGGCTCATTTCCCCCCTTTTTTGGTTAATTATTAGCTAAACTCTTTGATAAAACAATGAAGGGTCGTTTTCCTCCCTGTTTTTCTTTCCCTTCTGTAACCCCATTAACAAGATTATTATACACTGCAGGGGAAGCCAGGTAAATTAAACTTAAATGACTGGAAATTAAGTTCCAAATGGTTATGTGCTTGGGAAGAGAGGAAAAGGGAATGTAATGTGTGAGAGAGACAGGGATAGGATGTCCTTATGAGCCAGCCTTCGAGGATGATTATTATTTTATACGTAGTGAAGGGGAAACATCATTTAGATAGAGTTGCGGTTATACAGAGGACCAAAAAAAGAAATCACTTAGGTAGAGTTGTGGTTACACAGATGACAAAAACAGAACTCCCTTGTGAATAGTTTCCAGATCCGAAGTAAAGCTGTTCTATTATGTGTTGGCCAGTGGTTATGTGCTTGGGAAGCGTTGAGGACGTGTTTAAAGCCCCTTCTTTTACAGTTTATGGGACCAATTTAGGTCTCCTTTTGCTCAAACGCCCTGCTGGTTTCACACTCCTCCTCCTCCTTCCTGCTGCATTCCAGACCCCACGTTTATTTAGAATCCGAATTCTTCCTTTTCTGTTCTTTTCCACCTCGTTTTTATCTCGGTTGAGAAATTCGGGATGACTTTTAACTGTAACTTTCTTCCCTTCTCCTCCTTCTTGCCAGTAAGCGATTCCTCGGCCTAGCAGTGTCTGCCCAGAGAAATATTTGGGTGTTGCTTTTAATCCTGTCATTTATCTCACTCTTCTCTCCCCCCCCCCCCTCCCCACAGCCGCCTGTTTCTCTTGCCTCCTGCTTTCTAAAGTTGGCTTGAGCTAAGCGGAAAAGGCAGGAATGAGCGAAGGAGGGAGAGGAACCTGAAGTACTTTCCCCAGCTACAAAGCCCCGGCTGCACACGTTGTAAATAAATCCGTTTAATCTTTATTTATTCCCTGCCATTTGAGTTATGCCACACACCGGCCAAGATGGATTCTCGGAGGCAGAAGGAGGCTTCGGGAAGGGAACGCTTGTCCCTCCACCAACAGGCTGCAGGCAAAAAAAATATATGATCATATGAAAGACTACTTTGGCCTCATAGAAGCGGCTAGGAGATGGTTTCCAGATAACAAACCTGGAGGCCCAGTGTAGAAATGAGTCAAGCATAGTGGAAGATGGGGTTCGGATATTTTCACAGCCATAATAACAACATTTCACAGCCATAATAACAACACTACCTTACATTCTACAGCGGGAAGGTTGCCAGCTTTTTAAAATGCCCTCTGCATAGGTAAACAAAACATTTATTTTCTCACTCTCCATCCTCATCCCAAATATTTCCGGGCCAAACATTTACATGTCAGGAGCACAACATCCAAAGGCACATATAAACAATATCCTCAGGATTACAAACCCCACACTTCAGTTTCCTGCTCCACAAAAATTATGTTTATGTCAGAGTCTACTTTCCCTTTCAAACTGGATTTTGGACAATATATTATTTTCAAAGAAAACATTAGCAACAACGCTGATTTGAATGTGTATCCACTGAACTGAACACCAGACCTTCCTTGCAAGGTGGGTACGAAGGGAAATATTATTAAAGAATATTTTGAAACATTTACTCCTTCCTGAAACTCCCTTGAAACATTCACACTTGCCTCAAATAGACAAGAGTTATTTCGCCCACCTTGGACATTACACAGATATATAAACCCATTTTTCCTAGCTTCCAAAAAAACCTCTGAGGATGCCTGCCATAGATGCGGGTGAAACGTCAGGAGAGAATGCTTCTGGAACATGGCCATACAGGCCGGAAAACTCACAACCAAGTGATTCCAGACATGAAAGCGTTAGATAATACATATTCTTAAATAAATATTTAAAGGATGGATATCAAGTGATTAATTTCAATTAATCACTATTTTAAAGGCCTTTTCTGGGGAAGCAATTACAAAAGTTTAAAAAAATATAAAAGTTTTCAGGAATGAGATATATGGGTCAGGAGACCCAGCAATGGTACACCAGAAGACTTTCTCAATTTGGCACGAGGATCTGCAGCTAAAAACAAGATAATCTATAATCTATGGATATGTGAGCTTCTTGAACTTACTATACCTGGCAAACTCTAGTAGTTTAAAAATTACCTGTAAAGATTTCCTTAATGTCTCAACATTACATTCTTGTTGGTTTGTTTTTTTTTAATTCCATAATTCCTCTCCCAACACAAATATATATTCATGTACACACATCCAGACACAAACAGTTTCTGTATTTCCAGCAGCCTCTTTAAACTAACACAAGTTAAAAACAAGTAGCACAGTTACTCACTTATCTAACCACCAAGCAGCCAAGAACTCGTGTCTTAATCCAAGATACACTTGTTCACATATGATATGTCAAAGTTTCCAAACAAGAGCCTGAAAGGTTGTATCTTTCTCAAACAACTGAATGAGAAAAGGGGGTGAGGTCGGATTTCCCTCTTCTTTCTCTCCTGCTTTCCAGTTCCTTCTGTTTTCACCCACTAGTAAAGAAGAGCTGTTTAAAGTTTGGGTATATTCTCCACACAAAAGGGGAGGAAAGAAAAAAAAATCGAGAGGAACTCATAGTATATAAACCAGAAGAGGTGTGTTGTGCTGCATGTGTGCAAGAGAGACCTTAAAAAAACCCACTTCCTTTCCTTGTTATTTCCTTCAATTCTAAATGCATGGCGGCAGTGAAACCGTGAGGACTTCCTTGTCACTAAAACTGAAACTTGTAAGAGATCAAATCGCAATCCAGAAGCATTTCATGACTCTTTAATCCTCCATAGAGAAAATTCGCATCGCTCATGGGGGGAGGGTTGTCATGTTGCCATGTGTTTTTGGGTAGAGAATCCTTCCTATGAGATTAAACCTTCTGTAATAGACGGGTGATAGATAGGTAGATTGGATTACAACTTCATTTGTCCAGATTTGCAACGACATCGACCTCAATTCAGACCATCAAAAACTGGGCTAAATTAGAGGCATATATTTACAACTTTCAAAGCTAGTCGTGAGGTATCGCCTTCCATAGATGCAGGCGAAACGTCAGGAGAGAATGCTTCCGGAAGATGGCCATTCAGCCCGGAAAACTCACAACAACCTAGTTTTGACGGTTCAGGATACTTTAGACGTCTCACAGAAAAGAAAGAAACAGAACGAAGGTGGACACAACAGGGAGAAGGACAGGCCACTCAAGTCTACAGTTGGACCATTTGGAAAAGATTTCTCGAAGTACAGGAGAGTCTAGAAATAAAGTCGAAGTTAGGGGAAGGCAACATATTTGAGTTGCCTCATAGTGAAGGGAATTCTTCATCAGGGTGAACCGGTGACTTGGAAAGGAACTAGTGAAATAATCATGACCTTTTCATTCATTTTTGAAATACAAGGTATTCTACAGAATTCTGATTTCTGAGCCACTTCAATCTGTTCCGAGTTCGAGACAAAAACAAACCCTTCCGCCCCAAACTCCCTCACGAGGGGCTCACCTGATATCGTATGGGCCATATATATCATCTACTCGATGACCAATCGCTGTCGCCTTACCTATTGGGTTTCGATGCTGGGTGATCAATAAAGGAGAATTCTCGGCCGCCAGACCAGCCTTAGCTCTCTTTAACTCTAAACTGTCCAAAGCCCCGCCGCCAGCATAAAAAACGCAAGAGGGCACAGTTGTGGGGAGACAGATATACGGACTCTTCCTTCGAGCTCTGTCCTTCGATCCATTCCTCTTCCGGACTTCATAAAACGGTACGGGCCGGGGCGACCAAAGGGACACGCGTGGAAATGTAAACACGCCCCCCCCCCCACGCGCGCCATTTCAACCCATTAGATTAATTTAATGGAGAAAATCAGGTGGAATGAGAGGAGGGGAGCTTGGAAAAGGAATTCTCCTTCATCCTTCACTAGGAACAGGATTCAAGTTATTTTTAGGATACTCCGAATAGGTTAGACCTAAGCCAAAAAAATAAAATAATAAAGGGAGGGGGAGTTTTGAACTTTTTTCCCCCTCCAAAGATAGAGGCTTCCTCCTTCTTTTGCTACCGGTGTGAGTGTGTGTAGAGGTCCCCCTTACTCCTGGCCGCTTTCCAAACCCACCCTATAAACACGCTGAAATGGACCAAACTTTTTCCAAAGGAAAAGAGAGAGAGAGACCCCCTTTTCCCTCTCTCCTTTCGCTTCTCCACATTCGCAACCAGGCTCATCTCCTCCCTCGTTTGTGCTTCCACACTTCCTTTTTCCTCCTCTTCCTCCTCCTCTATTTATTTACTCCTCTTTTTTGTTTTAAAAGGAAACTCCAAAACGATTCGTAGGGATGGATCTTATCTCTGAGAGAACGACTATATATGGCTCAAAGGGGGAGCATGGGTTTGAAGGTGTGGGTTTGTGTATATCTGAGGGTTGAGCTCGGATAGGTGGAAGGAGGGGGGGTGCGTTTGGGAGTGTTTCCCCCCTCCCCTCCTCTCTCTCTCTCTCTCTCTCTCTCGCTCTCTCTGTTGTTGGAAAGTGATGGTTGTTGGTGGCGGAGATGCTGTGGCTGGTTTGTTCTAGGGGGGTCCCCTGTGCAAAGCGAACCCCTCCAGGGTGCGATTTCGGCGTCTTCGGCTCCTGCGATTGGTCAGCGCCTGATCAGATGGTTTTCTTTCCTTATGTCCCTGGTTGGCACGCGGCCATCCCCCTTCAGCTAAAACCCAATCTCCCATATACTGCTAATAGCTAAACCGCTTGGACTATAAAACGCAACAAATCATAAAGACCCCGGGAAAGAGCAGGTTCTGCTCTTCTGCATTATTATTATCATTATTGTTATTATTATTATTATTAATTTTCCAATGAGTTCTTATTTCGTCAACTCCACTTTCCCGGTGAGCTTAGCCGGGGGCCAGGAGCCCTTCCTGGGACAGCTGCCCTTGTATCCCACCGGGTACGCGGACCCTTTAAGGCACTACCCCGCCACCTATGGACCTGGGGCCGGCGGCGTCCCAGAGAAGGCTTACCCCGGCGCGCCTTACTACCAGCAAGCCAACGGAGGGGCGCCTTACAGCCGGAGCCCCGCCGCCTGCGATTACGGGACGCCCCCGGGCTTCTACCGGGAGAAAGAGACCTCCGCCTGCTCCCTCTCCAGTTTGGACGACCCGGCTCAGTTCGGGCAGGAGTCGGGCAGGAAGTCCGACTGCTCCCAAAGCAAACACGTCTTCGGGGACAGCGACGACCAGAAGTGCTCGACCCCCGTGTACCCCTGGATGCAGAGGATGAACTCCTGCAACAGTAAGTTTGCCCTTGACTCTGGACTTTTCGGGGACTCGTGACTTTCAGAGGGAGACAGGGTTGGGACACACACACAGACATCTTTGCACCCCATGCCTAAACAGGAAATGTCCTCCCCATCTCACTTCCCCTCCAAGTCTGGTTTGGAGGAGAAGTAAAACTTTCTCCAAACTTTTCTCCCACTTCAGATCATTCCCGTGTCATCTGTGCCTGTTTGTTTTGGTTTTTTTGAGGAAGGGGAGGCAAAGAAGGGGCAAGCTGTGTCCCCCCCTTTCACTTGGTTCGTTTCTTTCCCTAACTTTCTGCATCCAAGTAAAGTCCGGAGACTCTTGATGGAGCGGAAAGGCTTGTTAGCTGTCACTCGCCAGGAGTGATTTACGTGGCCTGTCTGAGGTAGTTTTACACATCACGCACACACATGCAGGGGATGGGATCCTGGTTCTGCTGGAGTCCCCCTCCTGCGTTATTGTAACGAACCTGGTCCTCCTTTCCCCCTCCACCTCTTCCCTTTCCAGTCCCAAAGAGTGCAGGCTTTAATCCCAGCCGCTTGACTAATGTCAAAAGGTTTTAAATATTTGAAGGGAATGAGCTACATTTTTAATGAAACTCAGGCATAATGAAATGCCTGTCTGAAGAGGAGTTGCTCATAGTTTCTCTTTCACTCCCTGCCCCTCCCTCCTTCTCCTCCTCCCACGAATCCCGCACCTTCTTCTTCTTCTGCGATCGGCGGTTCCCTCCAGGTGCGTTTTATTTTCCATGGAAATTATTTTTTAGGAAAAGATCAAGACGTGCTAACAGCTCGTCCTTGTCCTCCTGTTCCTATGTATTATAATGTGCCTCCAGGCTCTAAAATTCCTGACCCAGGGGGTGGAGAGGGAGGAATGTGAGAGAGAATCGATACACTTCCATAAATTCTCCAATCTATTACAGTTGCTGATAAAGGAGGGAGGGGGCGCACAGAAATAAAAGGCAGAGAAGGTGGGATACACAGCGCAGAACGTTTCCTAGGATAGAAAGGAAGAGGGCCAAAGAGGGCTGCCCAGAATGAGAGAGGGGTGAAGGCATAGGAGAAATTGAGAACTTCCAACCTTCATTTTCCCCTCAGATACAAGAGTGGGTAAAGGGAGGGGAGATTTCGGTTCCCTCCCAGGGCCAAACCCTGCCAGCTTTTAACTGCGACCCTAAAAACACATCAGCCAGGAAGACAAGTCTCATTGATTTCTATGCGCCATTACATCCCAATAGCACTAACATCGAAGTGAGTCCTACTTGGACCAGCCGATCTCCAGTGGACTTTTCTCCCCAGTTAAGGTGGCGTTGGTTTTGAGGCTTAGTTCGACCCGATTTGGAAGGTGTTCCTTCCAGAATCAATGTCGCATGGAGCAAACTCGAGGTCTGTTTCCAAGTCAGTAGACTTTGGAGTCCACCAAATTTAGGATCCACAAGGCAGGAAGAAGTGGATAGGAACTTCCTGCAGGAGGAAAGAGGCCTTATCAAGCAGACTATGCAAGCTTTCCACTTCCCACAGAACCGTTCTCCTAAAGTTTCCCTCCTTCCTCTTATCTTTAAAGAAGGGGGGGGGGGATACACACCAACCAATAGTAGTTGCATGGTGAGGCTGGTCGCTTTCCAGACGAGACTGCTGGGGGCACAGTGGGACTGTGATTCCAGAGGATGGGCTAGGATGGGTTTGCACACACACACACTGTACAAACAGAGCGCTGGGACAGGAGGCATTTGGGCTTCGAAAAGTACCAAGTGAAAGGGAGACGCTTTGAGATTTGTTTGGTTCTGTTCTGGGAGAAATCTATTGCTTTTTCTTTGCCTCCCCCATTTGCTGGTTTATACCCTGAACAGAGAAGCTGGAGGACTGAACTTGGAAGGGAGGGGGTGTCACAGGAAGAAGAAGGGAAATGATTGGAGGAACACCTCCTCTCTCTCTCTCTCTGTACACATACACACACATATACGTACAAGAACCTATTGTAATGCATCTATGAAACTCCAGTCAATGTTCCACTGTCCCATCCGCCCTTCCTTGTTTTTCCTTCCCTCCCCAGGTTCTTCCTTTGGGCCGAGTGGCAGGCGGGGGAGGCAGACCTACACCCGTTACCAAACCCTGGAACTGGAGAAGGAATTCCACTTTAACCGTTACCTAACCAGGCGCCGCCGGATCGAGATCGCCCACGCGCTGTGCCTGACGGAGCGCCAGATCAAAATCTGGTTCCAGAACCGAAGGATGAAGTGGAAAAAGGAGAACAAGCTCCTCAACTCCACCCAGCTGAGCGCCGAGGAAGAAGAGGAGAAAACGACGGAATGAGACAGCAAAGGAAAGAGGAGAGAAAGAGAATATGAAGAAGGAGGACGAAAGCAACAGCAACAAAATTGCAACAGTTGTGGGAGCTCCCCCAAAAGGAGGGGAAATGGGTGGGCAGGCACAACCGAGGCACCATTTGTGTAAAAAATAATAATAATACCCAAGACTGTATGGAAATGTTGGCCCAGCTTCCTTTTGCACCCTCATCTAGTAATCTGTCGTGTCATAAACAAGCTTCTAGACCAGTTTTTATTTCTCTACCCTTTCTATAGCCCTTCTCCTCCCTTTCCGCCACACCACAAATGGATTTTGTGAAAACAAAAGAATACAACTTTGGGTGTCCTTCTTGGCATTCTTGCTAACTCTTGTATTTAAGTGGAGGTGCTGCAATATATGTGTCAGATTTGGGGGGGTGTTGGTTGTCTTCATTTTGTAAAACAAAGTCTCATGCACGATTTTCCTTATTATATGTTGTTGGGTTGGGGTTTTTTTTTTTAAGTTAATCAAACCCTAGGTTCTTCACCATTTCAGGGGTTTTGGTTTGGTTTTTAAAGACAAAAAATCTATTGAAAAGGAAAGAACAATGACTACCTAAATAAACAAAGAGGGGTGTTGTTTGTTTGTTTGTTTTTGCCTTGTTTTATTTTATTACAGTTTTGTACAGTGTTGTGTTTGTAGTTTGTGTTAGAAATGGAGATTTTAAATCCTCTAATAAATATATAAAAAAACAAACATGTCGAGAAAACCACTTGCCACATTCATATTTGGGGATATTTGGGTCTCCCCCACCCTTTTCCTTCCTCTCTGTGGAATTGATCTACCTACATTATTTGAAAGGCAGACAGAAAGAATGAAAGAAAAGAAAAATAAAGTACAGCTCTTGATAGAAGTTCTTTCTTTAACCTGGACAGTCAAACAGTTATGTAAGCCTCCCAGAAGTTAAAACTAGTAGATAAATTTGGCATACCTCCATCCACTCCCTATTTTCCAGCCTAATCTTAAAGGGAAGACCTTTTCAGCAGAATATATTGGGAGTTCACGTGTAACTTTAAAGCAGAATTATTATTATTATTATTATTATTATTATTATTATTGTTATTATTATTATTATTATTAGAAACACAACAAGATGAGTCCACAGCAGACAAGACCACTCTGCTGGCTGTTGTATTTATTATTATTATTATTATTATTATTATTATTATTATTATTATTTTATTACACCAGAAAAGAGTTATGGAGAGTGAAGAGGAAAGTTCACCACATATGCAATAAATTAAAAACACACACTAAGCTATCAGCATGCCCCCATCCTACATCTGCTAAAAGACATCTTATGTTTCTGAACCCCTTTTAAATCACTGGATCCACTTCTACGTTCCTTCAAACGCATACAACTAAACAGCATTTCTACAGAAACCTCAATTAAATGAAATGTGGGATTACAAGTCAATCCTCGTTCTGTGCAGTGAGCTTTTTTCAGGAAGGAAGAAAACCGAACAATTGAAATACTAAGCATTTTCCAGAGGTGGAATCTCACCCCTCTTTTCAGCCCCCTCCCTTATGCTGCTTTGTGTTGCTACTACTGTCGATGTTGTGCTTTTCCGTGTTTAGACAACCTTCCAGAGAATTCCTCTGGAAAGATTCCTTGAAGAAAGTGAAATATTTACTACTGTTCACCTAATTGTCATTGTCTCTTCTCCTCTGAAAGCAAATGGTGGCAATTGTTTCTGGCTTTCTCTTCTGTCGCATTTTTTGAAATGATGTTGAGAGGAAAGGCAGGCAAGGGAAATTGGCCAGTCTAAAATACCTCAAATGCACAGGTAGATAAGCATCCTTCCTTAGCAGATTACAAAAAAAAAAATCTGGTTGTAATGAACAGGCATTTAAACCATCAATTCATGCAGAAGCCTCGCAGCTGCAGGACACTTATCCTTATTGCTACTCTTTTCATTGACCGTAATTATTATAATTATATGTCACTTTCAATATGGCTCATAATTTCAAATGACTTGCAGGCTGGCTTTTAGAAATTCCTGAACGGTCTTGGAAGAAGGAGACGGGAAAGCATTTTCACAGTATTTGGCAAGGCGAAGCTTTTCCTCACCAACCTGTCCCCCTCTTCTTCTTCTTCTTTTTTTACAGGATTGATTACTATCAAACCTTTATTTGCAGCTTTGATGAAGGGTGAAGACACCCTTCCTTGGCGACATCCAACAGATTTTTGGTTCTCCTGTTCATACTACAAAAATTATATTCATAAGGACAGAGGATGCCTAGTTTTAATAGGGATTGTTTCCTACCCTTGCTGAAATCTACACAATAGACATCTGAAATGTACTACTACTAGTAGTATTGGTAATAAAGGCGTTAGCACTTACCATGAGGCTTATGAAGTGAATTTTGTAGTGAAAAGCAATATTAAGAAGCTGAATTCTGAAAGTCAGCTCCTCTGCAGCAAGTTATCACTCTGCATTCACTATATATGTCTATTCAGAAAGCTGTGATTTGAGTTCAATTGAATGTACTTTCAGGTAAGGAAGTGACTACAGAATCAACAGCCTGAGTGGGGGGAATAAAGAAGGGAAAGAAGGAAGGATGGTGGCGGATAGGTTTCTAAATATTCTCCCTTTTGATCCATATAGATTCTCTTCTCTGAAATCTTTCCTCAAAATCAAAAACGCTCAAGGCATTGAGATCCTAATTCGATATTAACACAGGAATTACTACTAGAAGTAAGACTAATACTGATATGACTAATAATAGTATGTTTTGAGCAGTCAATGTCAAAGAAAGGAAAGGACTCAGTTCAAAGAGGCAGGATGTCTTCAAAAAGAGATCAGAGAACTCAAAGAAGCTGAAGCCAGACTGTTAGGTAGGAGAAATCTTTTATTTTTTAAAGAAAGGAGACAAAAAGAGAGCACTTTTCTTTTCTTTTCTTTCTTTCTTTCTTTCTTTCTTTCTTTCTTTCTTTCTTTCTTTCTTTCTTTCTCTTTCTTTCCTTTTTTCTCCCCAATCATTTGGGCGAGCCCTCCTCCCTGCCTGCAACTCCGTCTCTGCCCAGTAGGTGGCGTGCTCCGCCAACAAGGCGCCATTTCTCCCGGCAGCTTCCTCCCCCTCCCTTTCCTCCCCCTTTTGGAAGCGGCGCATTGACATGGGCCTAACGATTCTCGGATCGTCATTATTTGTAACCATAGAGCATGAATTGCCTCTTGAGGTCATCAGTGAGAATTTACGACTGGTCAACAAAAGCACGTGACTCCCAAACGCGCACCCCCCACCCCACCCCCATATTTGGCCGCATACATAGCAAAAACGAAGTACAGTGCATCGCTATAATTCATTAATACATCATAAATCCTCAAGCACAGGGGTTATAACGACCACGCGCCCCACAAATCAAGCCCTCCAAAAATACAACCCCAAATGAGTTCCTACTTTGTAAACTCGTTCTCAGGACGCTATCCTAATGCCCCAGACTATCAGCTGCTAAATTATGGGACCGGCAGCTCCATGAACGGATCTTATAGGGATCCAGGCAACATGCACGCCGGCTCCTACGGCGGATACAACTACAATGGGATGGATCTGAGCGTCGGCCGCTCCGCCTCGTCCTCCAGCCACTTCGGAAGGGTGGCCGAGGGCACCCGCGCCTTCCCGGCCCAAGCCTCGCCCGAGAGCCGGTTCCGCCAGGCGTCCAGCTGCTCCTTGTCCTCGCCGGAGTCCCTCCCTTGCACCGGCAGCGGCGGCGGCGGCAACAACAGCAGCAACGGCACCACCAACAGCAGCAGCAGCACCAGCAACGGCGGCGGCGGAGGGAGCACCGTCGTCGGCGCCAACAACAACGGCGAGAGCCATGGAGGCAAAGCGCCCGCCGACCAGGCTGCCACCTCCGCCTCCGTGAGCTCTGCAGTCGCCGCCAGCTTCCCCGAGATCGACGAGACCAGCGCGTCCTCCGGAGCCGAGGAGAGCGGCTCTCAAGGCGGCAACAACAACAGCAGCAACGGCGCCCGAGCTCCGCCCGAGCCCCTGGCCGCCCCCAACGCCAACGCCCCCAACGCCAACGCCGCCGAAGGACAGAGCCCCCAGATATTCCCCTGGATGCGGAAACTTCACATTAGCCACGGTACAGGCGCCTTTATTCGTGTTTTCATTAAATGGGTCAGATTGTGGGGGGTGGGAAGGAATTGGGGGACTGCACAGACCTCCTGCCTGGGTCTTTGCGAGAGAGAAAAGGCTTGGCTTCCCTTCCTGTCTCCTTCTGCAGGGAGTCTTGGGATTTCCTATCTGAGGTTAATTCCCCCTCTTTCAAAAAGGAAGAAAGGGGTTTAGATGGGTGATACAAATAATAATAATAATAATAATAATAATAATACCACCCATCTAAACCTCTTTCTTCCTTTTTGAAAGAGGGGAAATAGTAATAATAATAATAATAATAATAATAGTAATACCACCACCCACCTAAACCTCTTTCTTCCTTTTTGAAAGAGGTGAAATAATAATAATAATAGTTATTATTATTATTATTATTATTATTTATATCACCAATCTAAACCTCTTTCTTTCTTTTTGAAAGAGGGGAAATAATAATAATAATAGTTATTATTATTATTATTATTATTATTTATATCACCAATCTAAACCCCTTTCTTCCTTTTTGAAAGAGGGGTAATAATAATAATAATAATAATAATAATAATAATAATAATAATAATAATAATAATAAATACAATTTAGAGAGAAGTGGGTTTTTAAATAGTGTCTCCATGGAATGGGTTGGGTGAAGGGATAAGGTTGCACAAGCGCAAATACTACCATACGTATACATTTCACAGGCACCATGAGGAAGAAATAAGTGAGAGGTAAAAAGCAGCCCTAAGGGTCACAGATGGATCTGTCGAGCTTCTCTCTCTTTCTCCCCCAACACCCTACTCTTCCACCCAGATGTAGCGGTGGTTGTGACAATAATGGCGAAGCCTTTGCCTCTCCCTCCCTTTCTCCCTCCCTGCAAAAATGAATGCAAGACATTTCAAAGGGGTTGTTAGCGAGGAAGAGTGAGGGGATATCGACTAGTTTAACACGTCCCTGCCAAATTCTCTGGGGCTGGCGAAAGCCAACCCAAGCCCCTCTGCATTTGTATTGGGGCTTTGATTCTTCCGGAAGGGAGGTCACATGGGGGAGGGGAGACGGTTTGAGGAAGAGGGGGAGACAGTGGAGGTGCACCCCAATGTCCAGGGAGCCTCTTCCTGCCTTTCCCTTTCGCCATCTATTACCATCGATTGAGAAGCCAAGAATGGGGAGAGTATGAGAAGCGACCCTTCCAACGTGGAAATAGTGTCTCCCTGAACTGGAGAAACACTGAAAACTATGGGTCAGACTCCCCAAATAGTGGGGCTTCTAGCCTTGGAAAGCTGTCACAGAGTCAGGAGGGAAATGTGGATGCAAAAAAGAGACAGGAGGGAGGACAAGAGGCCAAGGTTACAAAGAGAGACAGAAAGACAGACTTGGATCCAGACTGGAGGCCACAGTCTTCACAAAAGGGACGCAGGAAACCTATGAAGGGTTGAAAAAGCAACCTCAAGAAGGTGAGGCGTGAGTTAGGAAAGATATGGGCAACCAGAGAAAGAAAGAGCTGGGTGAGAGTTTGTAACCAGGCTTAGCAAAGGGAAGCCAAGCTCTTCAAAAGATGCAGGAAAGAGCTGGGTGAGAGTTTGCTTGCATGCAGCCTT